CTCGCATGAATACAGGTAAAATAAATCTTTCGTATTTGGTTCTAACAAAAACATCACCGACTATCGTATCCTCATCTATCATAGGGGCTTTTACTATGATCTTAAAAATAGCTAAAAATCCAGGTTTTATAAATTGCTGTAATTAATAATATTTATATTGTATTTAAATATTGTCAAATTTATATATATATATTAATATGAGACATAAATTTTAAAAACGATAAGATTAACAATACTTACAGTGCCAGTATTACTACATACAGTTACATTTTTAAGCTCCTCGTCTAATAAATTAGCAGGGCCACTTTGACAACCCATCAATTCCAAAACTGCTCCAGGCATATTTACTCCCCAATCGTGTAAATCAATATTAACTGGATTCTGATTTTCCAATGCAAATATTGCTTCGTTTTCAGTTCCACTACTAACAGTACCAAAATTCATGGTACCTTTATCATCTTCCTTTTCTCCTGGAACAATTCTCCTTACTTTTCCGTCATAACTTAGTAATGGTACGTTAGTAATAGATACATTTGAATGTATTAATATAGATGATTCCATCTCTACGTCATCATTTTTCTTTTCTTTGGTAAGTTGTAAAGAAAATATATTAACTTTTTGTTCTGGTTTTATTACTCTAGGAGTAAAATTTTTTATCTGAAAAAATATATATATATATAAAAAAAATCACAATGATAATATTTAATATAATAAATAATATAAAATGACGTGTAAAATTATTCTTTCAACTTACCAAGAAACGAGATTTAACATTAGGTGACATCGTAACATGTGTGATAGCTAATGGTAATTTAAATTTATTTACAACGCTAAAATTTTGGACTTGGCTAGTTTGCAGAGAACAATAATGAGTAATAGATGCATTTACTTCTAATCCTCCTTGTAAAGCCTGTGCTATCCATGGTATGGCTAATTTTTGACTAGTACCACCAGGCCCCATTGCTTTAATCATTAATTTTCCTTTAAAATGTTGCAATTCTAAACCAGCTTTCCCTGTAACATATATATATATATAAATCATATGAAAAATAATTGGAAATAAATATAATACATAATATATTTCAATAATAATATTATTTACAATCATAAAATAATGTTCCAATAGCAATTGGGATATCTGTATCCCCAGGAATCGTAGTTGGCTTAAATTGGAGTCCTAATGCTTTCGATATGGGGGTGCTAATAATATTCTAAAAAAAAAAAAAATAATACAATCATAAGACATTAATATTATTTATATTATATTAATCATTGAAGTTTCAGATTTCTTTTTACAAATTTTTAGAAGAAATTTTGAACAAGAATTGTCTCTTTTGTTGGAACTTAAATGATTAATTTTATAATAAATATATGTGTGTGTGTGTTTATATATATATATATATAAGATTGTCTAAATATAAACAAATAGATGGATAGAAGATAATTTACCACAACTTTAACTGCTTTTTTAGCTGAATTTTTTAAAGCAATTATATGATATGTGGGTGGTTGTAATGAACCTCCCATACCAAAATTAATTCTTCCCGAACTTCCACCCCAATGAAGACCAGCTCCACTCTTAACTTCTACTTCGACTGCTACAATTAATATCTCAGCAGTATTATTTATTTTAACTCTAAAAAGAAAAATAAATATATAATAGTCATTAGAAATGTATACAAATCTTGGTTATTAATAATCAATGAAGTTTGAAAAAGAAAGAAAAAAAAACCCAAAACGTATACTTTAAGTCACACATTATAAATTGATGATAAATAAACAAACCTAATATATGCGGTGTGATTTTTTTCTGTATAAGCATTAAAATAAAGCCTTATAATTGGTTTCGTTTGATAAGGTGGTATTTCCCATAATTCACGAGAACCCTCAGCTTCTCCTGATGGTAATTCCAATTGAAATTCTTCTCCACTACTATATATTTCTACTACCTTAAATTAAAAATAATTTGAAACATATATACATATATATATATATATATATGTTTATCATAAAAATAGTAATAATAACAAGTAATCTATTAAATAATAATAAAATAGTAAAAGTACATAATAATATAAATTAAAAATAGTAGTATAAAATAGTAGTAGTACATAATAATATAAAAGTATATCAATTAAATTGACAATGAATTTTCTAGTTCCTAATGCCAGTTAATAATAATAATAATAATAATAATAATAATAATAATAATATCAATTAAATTATATTTTAAATTTGATATTTAATTTAATTTTTTGTAATTATTAATATTAACAAAAATAAAATATAAATATCAAATTTAAAATATAAATGAAATAATACAATTTAAAATATTACATAATTAAAGATAATATATATATAGATTATAAAGTATTTACTTGCAATGATTCCGGATGTGGATTATGCATGTATATTAGTGGAGTAAATGATGCGTTTAATGGTAACTTTACATCGATTATAGGTCTTAATCGATACGGACTACTAATGCTCACTCCTCTGACCTATTATATAAAAACAATAAAATTATAGGTTAGAATATGAAATATTTATTTAAAAGAAATATAGAAAATATAAAACAAAAAAGAAAAATAAATAATAATAATAAGAAAAGTATTACAGTAATGTTATACGTTACTTGATACTTTATAGTACCCTCTGATGTGTGTATAAAGAGGTAAGTATCAATCTCACCTTCTTCTCTACCAAGAAATATTACATTAAATGTCGTATTTCTAAGAGGTGGTATTACCTGAAAATTAAAAAAAAAAAAAAAAGAAATAAATTATTTTAAATATAAAAATGATATTTAGAAAAAAAAAAAGAAACAAAATTATTTATACTAACTTTATCTTGGAAAAATGATGAATGAAAATGACGAGTATTTCCAGAAATGGATGATAAATGAATTGTCCTATTATGGTCTTTATTAATTAACATCACAGTTTCTTTATGGGGTATACCAAGTTGTCTGTAAAAATTGTAATGAATTATTAACAAATTATTGAAATGAGATAAATACAATGTATACATAAGATGAAGAAGATAAATTTACCTTTCTTTAAAATCCAAAATATGGGGTAGGAAATAAATATGGGACAATGTATCTTGTACTTTATCTTCATCCGGTACAACAGTATCCCTTTAAATATCATTTGATGATTTAAAATAATTGAATTATTATTTCAATGAAAAATAGGAAAAATATAAATTTATCGAGAAAATCATTTTTCTTTATACTGCACACACATTATTGACATATATGATTGGTCAAATTTCAGTTGCCCTTTATATTAAATATCTTTCCTATTTACCATTATTACGGTCATGCTTACCCAACCCCATGTACTGTATTAGTAAAGTCCTATAAAAGAAAAAAAAACATTATAATGATATAATTAATATCAAATATTATTGAAATAATAATAAATATATTTATTATAAATTTACCTTATGCATAGGTAATGGTATATTATCCAAAAGATATTGAACATCGTTGTCATCCTGAACGAATGCTGTTAAAAGTAATAGTTATTATTAATAATAATGATTTAATTAAAAAAAAAAAAAATCAATTTATATTTATGTTCAATAAGCATTAAATGTATATTCTTAAAATTCAATGACATAACATCAAACAATATATCATATTACAGTTGCATATAAATAATGCATATCATGAGAGAAAAATTAAGGTTATATTATTACTCCATTAAAAGTATAGAGAAAAAGAAATATTTCTTTTTATGCATATGTATATGTTGCACGAAAGTACTAGAAACTTATAAAGAGGTTAGTAATAATCGATATACAAGATATTTACATACTAACATTAAATATAAATCAAAATGCAGTATGGCTGTTTGAATATTTTAGTTAGATCTATAAAATCTTGAAGGTAAGAAAAGAAGACACACAAAAAAAGATGAAAAAAAAAACAAGAAGAGAGAGAGAGAGAGAGAGAAAAAAAAAAGAAACAAGATAATAATTTAAATCGTAACAATGACAATTGTGATACGTCAATATGTATAATTAATGTTTAAAAAAAAGAAATATAGGAATAATTTATGCGTATCTATTAAAAAGTATTACAAAATGCATAGTAAGAGATTGTTGATGTCAAAACATAAGAGAAATTGTGCTTACCATTATTATGTCCATGTAAGGAGGGTCGAATTTGTGAGGTTGAATCCAAAAATGATAACAAGAATAAACAATAAAATACTTTTAACTCAATCATAATATTAAATCTTAACGTATTGTTTTGTTATTTTGCTTGAGCACAAATGAAAATGCGCTTTCGGCCATACTTTTATATTATCGAAGTTAACCGTGATATCGATTGTATCATCGTTTAATTTGAAGTATGCAGTTAAACGATAACCAATGAGTGCATTCAATTTTATCGTTATATTGTAAATCTCAAATTTGATTGGTTATCGTTTAAAACTTGGCCAATCAAATTGAAGAAATTATTTATACTTCAAGTTTCATACGTTTATCGTTTTATTCGTTTTACCATTGATCTTATGGTTAACTTCACTTTGTTCAAATTTAGAATTACTTGAAGTAGTCTGATATTTGTGTAGCAAAGTAGTATTATGGAAGTATGTGTGGTTTTCCAATTAAAGAGCATAATGCGACTCAGTGGCGCACAATGCCGAATTGTGCTAATGCTTAATTGGAACGTGAATTAGTTTTCAAGTGCACCAGCAGAGTGCGCTAAGTTCAGTGTTGAAACAAAATATATTCATAGATTTAGCAACCTCATTAATGTATTAATAAAGTGGTATACAATAATAATGATTCGATCAAGCCATTGCAATGTTGACAAAAGTATATTTCTGTCAAATAAATTTATTTATAGTTTTGAATTTTAAAATGAAATTGTATTTCACATTTTATGTGTAGAATATAAAAAAAAGTAGTCGATGTTTATACCTTCATCCATACTTATATTTATTTTTTAACATAGTCTGAATTAACTTTTGATTATTTCCAAAAAACTACGACAAGAAGAAAGCTTTAAGAATTGTTTCAACAATAAACAATGTTACTAACGATAATATAAATAAAATTTCGATCAATGCCAACTTAAAGAAAAAATACTTGGTTATTTTCTGCTACTGAGTTGGTATCGATTGCACGTATCACACGAAAGCAATACTTTTGAGAGTGCTCGATTGTGCGAAGCGTTGCTCTAGTTAAAACATTAAACCACGGAGGATAGATACCAGGAGTCCCAACGATATAGGATTTTTCACATTTTTTGTGGTAGTCATTTCTTGACCCAGATCATAGTTCTCTTTTTTGCCACTGGCTGCGCAAGTATTCAGAGCGTATTAGAGACCCTATAGGAGGGACGCGCCATGTAGATTTCTGGGGGACAGGAACTCGTGTAGTCACGTGATTGCGCGTGAAATATTCAAACATTGAAATAATTATGAAATAATGAATTGCATCAAATACAGAAAAAAAAAAGAACTATATTTAATGATAATTAAAAATTTATATTAAAATAGAATAGATTACACAAAAAAATTATTATAAATTCAATAGGAAAAATTCAATTAAGTTTGATTTGATAAAAGGCAATAAGTCTGTAAACAAACGATAAGTTATAGGTTAGGTTTGTACATTTATACTTGTAATTATTAAATGAGTAAATTAAACTTACACTTATAGAAAACTACTAAAAAAAAACCCTGAATAATTAAACATAAATATCACAATAAAAACTATAAGTATTCCAAACTTAAACTAACCACAGCCCTTAATACATACTAAAGATAAACATGGCTGCGCAATACAACGGAAGCTGTCCCCCCACATTTTCAGCCTTGTAATTCACATGGCGTGTCCCTCCTATAGGGTCTCTAGAGCGTACCGATATTATTATTATTATTACACGTAAATTAAATATAAAATATTAATTTATTTTTTTAGAATTATTTTTATTAAAAAATGGGAAAGTGTTGTGCCGTTTATGGTTGCCTTAGTGGCCKAAAGGCAAGTGAGAATTTAGGAAAAGTGGCTTTATTCAAAGCACCAAAAGTAAGTAACCTCAGAATAATATTAAAAATTGTATGTTAACAAATAACTAATTATTACATTTGTGTAATATTTAAATAATATTAATTCTACGTTTCTTAAAATATTTTTTTTCAGAGCTGTCAATAGAGCAACAAGACTTCCCGCGTAAGTATTTAAACGAGTACTCTGTGAAAAGCAGCGCGCCCTATCGGCAAAATATCTTGTCCCCTAAATTAATACCATTCTTTCAACATTACGTTCGGACTCCTGGTATTTATCCTCCGTGTATCGCATTAAGCGCTTTTGGAAAACCACAATGGCGTATTATGGTATGGTAAATAATATATTTGTAGGTTGCGTTGCATGTGATGTAGTATTTTAACCACTTGCGGTGCAAGGAAATTCTTGGTTACGCGTGCCAGAACAGTCGAGTGGGAATCACTTCGCGGTTCGTTCAGGCAGCGCTCAGCGGGTGGGTTCCAGAAGAGAAAATAAAGAGGCAGAAGGATAAAATTACATCTGTATCAATACTAAATTTATTTATCCATAATCTTGCATGGTGTGATACTTTTCAAAGACAAGACATTTATCTTTCTGTAATAATCGCCCAACGACGTGCGTAACACGTCGCTGGCGTTCCGGTAACAAAAGCATGTTGACGTGCATGGCACGTCTTTCCACCGCAAGTGGTTAAGAAAAGATTTATAAAAAAAAAAAATATCTAGTTGATTAAAATAATATTTTGTTTAAATATTAAAATATTTTTTGTATATAGTTACATACAACAATATAATTAATATTTACATTTAATTAATGTAATTGTAAATAAATGGATAGAACCAAGAAAAGTAAGAAAAATTTAACAATATGTATGTAATTATTTATTTATGTATAAATTATTTATTTTAATGTAATATTTATCATGTTTAATAGGAAGTGATGATCACCACAATAAATTGTCTTGGATTTATAAAAGAAAACTCAAATTAAAACGAGCTGAAAATCGAAGAAAAAAGGAAGCCATTAATAAAATAAATGAAACTGCAACAAGGATTGTTGTTCGCAATCTACCATTTGAAGTATGAAATGATAATGATTTCATCTATATATATATATATATAAATTTAATTCTATATGATAATTATTATTATTATTAATAGATAAAAGAAGATGAGGTTAGAACGTTGTATAAAAAATATGGAGAAATAGAAAAAATAATTCTTTTTGGTCAGTCGTTACCAGGTTGTGCATTTATAGATTTTAAACGTATACAAGATGCATCCAAAGCAATATTCAATACAAATAAAATCGAATTTTTAGGTACATTATTTTATTATCATATATTTAAATTCATCTCTCTGTATATTTAGATAAATTCGAAATAATTTGTATTATTTTATACACAGGTAGGACGATTACCTGCGGATGGGTTCTTGAAAATTCGAAACTTTATCAAAAGTCAAAGAATATTACTGAAACCGATAATAAAAATAAACCTTCCAATTCCTCATTAAAAAGAAAAAATACAGATAAAAAAAATGAACAACACAAATCTCTAACATTACGAGAAAGTAATAAACCAAAACAAATGAGAAAACATTAATAGTCGTGTAAGAATAGAATGTATTGTTTTCTATTTTGCTAAATAAAAATCTAATGATCAATATTCTGTTAATAAATCAATACAAATCAATCTTAGTTTGAAATCGATTAGAAATAATACAGAAATAAATTAGATTTAAACGTTAAAGTTGTTTTACATGTTAAATTTAATTAAAATAAGCAAAAAAAAATGATTCAACTTGTAAATTTGGCTTTAAACAGTACAACCAACGTTTAAATAGTAACATCAATCATACCAACATAATAAACTTGTATAACCTCGTGTAAGATAAAATCAAAAATTTGGTATTTAATTAAAATTCAGATAAACGGTTATAATTTAAAAAAGAAAGTGACATAAATCATATTTGATACCTTTAACAAGATAAACATGAAAGTATATGAGTTTAATTTATACTTAACCTAAAATAACATTATGAAATATTTCTTTTTAAATATTAAAAATATATAAATATTAATATTTTCTAACCTCAAGATTATTTTCTGTTATATCGTATAAAAGTTTATTTAAAAAAAAATGATAACAATAATAAAATAATCATATGTATATATATATATATATATTTATAAAAAAAAGCTAAGATTACTATAATTATTTTAATATATTATTTAAAAAAATAAAATAAACAATATACAGGTAATATATGATCAATTATAACAACCATCTCTTTTTCTGGTATTTCATTGAAAATTATAAATAATACTAAAATAATAATAATAATAATAATAATGTGTTTAAACTTTCTTATGTATGTTCTATAGCATGGATAAATGTTTAAAACAAATAATATGGGTGTCATGGACTATGCGAAGTCGAGCATTATTCTTAAATTGTAATAAAGTAAGAAATAGAATTTATCTAAATAGTTCACAGAATTATTGGAACCCACCTAGAGGTAATTTACAATACATTATTAAATATATATTAGGTGGAGCGGAAAGTAACGTTGCTTTCTAACCTTAAATTCAAAAGAATAAATTTCTATTTTTAATCAATAACATAAACAACCTCGTTATCAACAATCTTTCTTCATCTAGTATGACAATTTTTAATATCAAATTGATTAAAATCAAAATCGGTTCTTGATTAAAAATATATACAAAATTTGACATTTGTAGAAAAGACATTACTTTTCGGTTGTATACCTAATATATACATTATTATATTATAAAAAGAAAGAAGTAAATTTATTTTTCCATTTAACGTAAAACATTCTTTGTTTTCTTAGAACACGTTTCTTACAATACTGCTGCGTAGTATTTGAAAAAATGACCTTTTCCTTATTATTGTCATATAAATATGTTTTGTGATATAATTAAAAATACTTATGGAAATATTTAGAAATTTATAGATCGGCAAATCTGGAACCAGTGAAAAAAATCATGAATGAATCATTGACAATGACATCGGATGATACCAAACGAATCTTAGATTCAATTACTGATGAATGTCAAACTATGCAATTACCCGATATCTTTGATGTACTGTCGATAATATCTAAGATAGCCGCTACCGAAGAAAACAAATTTGAGTTAAGGGAATATAAAGGATTTAAAATGCTTTGCAATCGTATGCAAGAACAAATAAGACAAATGACCTTAGCTGATGTTATCAAATCTCTGAAATTTTTGAACTATTTAAATGTACCATCGAATACAATGATAATGCAAAGTTTGCTACACATTATAAAACTTAATTTAAATCAATTGGACATCAATCAAATGCATTTGTTAACGGTAATATTTAAAACAATGAAACCAACGCCGTTATCATCAGCATTACAGTTAGCATTACCAATGCTACTTCAAAGTATTTTAATAAATAAGCTTGATCATACTGATTTGAAAGAATTATCATTGGCATTGTATTACGTGAAATTTACGAATGATCAAAACACATATATGAAAATTTATAAAGATATACAATCTGCACTGATAAACGATTCTAAACCACCTTCGGTCCGTACTTTAAAAAATATTTATATTTCATTGAGTATGCTGGCAGAACAAAAAATCTACTCTGCGGAAAATAGAAAGACGATAGTGATGGTACGCGAAGCACTTTTTCAAAACATTAATAAAATGTCGCCATTAGATATAGAAGAATGTTTAAAAGAAATATCTAAAAGCTTGATAGATAAGTAAATATCATATAATTTTGTATATTATTAAAACATCCTCTCGTTTTAAAACTATTTTTAAATGATAATAATAATAATAATAATAATAATGTTTTATGTTTATACAGGAGAATATCTCATAGTTACGATGCAACATTCATCAACGAATTACTTAACGTTTTGATTAGTAAAAATCCAAGTTTCATTATTAGTTGCAACATTGCTAAATATTTAAATAGTATCAATTTTGTTTATCTACCATTCATAGAATTTCTAACAAATAAAATATTAGACAAGGAATATATATTAGGAATAGACGCATATTCTATACAAGAAATTTTACAAATATTATCTAACGCTCAATATCAATCAGTTCCTTGGCTTATCTTAGAATCTAAATTATTAGATGAAAAATTTCTAAATGATACCCCATTCAAAGCATTACTTAAATGTGCCGTTCATTTAGCAGCGTTAAATAAATTTTATCCTAAATTATTGATGAAAATCTTTACCGAATTGGATAAATACTTATTATATTCTAATTCAGGAAACAATGTACATTCTAAAAGAATCATTTTTTTGTATCAAATCGTCAAATCGTTATATCCGTATTATACGGGTCCTTTTCCTGATAAAATATTTCTTCAATTACAAAATCAACCATTTAATTCCAAATTTACTACCACGTTAAGACTTCATATGGAAAAAACAATGGGTGGTCCACAATATGTGGCAAGTAATTTAAAAACAAAATTAGGACATACCATTAGTAAGTATTATATATTATTATTCTTTTTTGTTTTTTATTTTTTCAATAAAATTTTCAATAAAACTTAAATAACATAATTTATATTAAATTATTTTCTTATAGATCATGCGGTAATTATGAGAAAAGGTGGATATCCCATGGCATTTAATATACGTGATTCTACAATTCTTTCAAATTGTAATAATTACGTTGAAGATTTCAACTATGAATCAAACGTTGTACCGTAAGTAATTTTCTTTTATGTTACATCTCTTTCAATTAATATTAGGTCGAGTCATAAATAACTTCCGTTTTTTGATGAGACAAAAAGAATGGCGTTTCTGCGACTGATAAGTACAAGACACCTTTCATGGAGTTTTTTTTTAGCACTCTTTGCAATTGTTGAACGTATCTATTGGATTTTGCTCTCAATATTACCTTTAAAAGGTTCATCAAAGTCGGAAATACGTCCCCTGCACTCGGGTTCATCTTTTAAGATCGTATCTCCAGAACGGAATTTTCCAAACCAATTTCTAACTGCCCTATCAGTTATCAGTCCTACACTGTATAAGCTGTATATTTTTTCAGTTGCCATCTTAGTGCTACTTGCTTTGTTTCAATTCCTAAAGCATTACATGTTGAATATGCACTTTTGGAAGTGAAAACTTCTTTAGAATGGGTGTGATTTGAAACAATGTAACGGAGTGGTAGGCGGCTATGTAACGGAGCGGTGGAAGGCGATGAAACAGCCGCGATATTAAATAAGAAGAGAATACAATTATCCTAGACAGATATTTTTATTGAAGTGAAAACTTTTTTAGAATGGGAATGATCTGAAAAGTAAATAAACGGTAACGCAGCTATGTAACGAAGCTGTGTAACGAAGCTATGAAACGACTGCTATACTAAATAATGAGAGAAAAAGAGACAAACATATAGGATTTAGCCTGCGAGAGAATGAGACGGAATATAGCTATACAGTTTTTTTGTACTCGTCTCATTCTCTCGAAACTTAGTTTTATTAAAGATTTCACTTTTAACACGTGTAATCTTTACTATCCATTTCAGTGATTAAGAAAAACGGTTAAATGTAACATTGACTACATAAAAAAGTTAACAGAAGACTAAACTGAATCCTTATCTATACAGTGATATCAAAAATCCGTTTGTTTCGGTGACTTATAGTAGGTAAATACGAAAAATAGATTCTACTACATAGCCGCATCGGAAGTTACTTATGACTCGACCTAATATTTGAATCAAATATTTATAACATTTCTTCTTTGTTATTGTCTTTTTCATTCTTTTTTTTTTTTTTCCAAATGTTCATTGAAATATATTTACTTTTACAGCATACTCATTGTAGCATATCCTTACCAATCATATTCTATTAATACACAACAATTATTGGGTGTATGGAAATCACAAATAATGTCTTTAGAAAAATGGACCGGTTATAAATGCGTTGCGATAAATATAAATGAATGGATCAGTTTGCCAACGCACGAAAAGAATACGTATATTATGCAAGAAATTAAAAATAAATGTTCGGATATTTTTGAATTAACGTAATAATAATAATAATAATAATATATGAATTTTTTAGAATATTAAATAATGATTTAATTAAGAAATATTGATAAGTTTCGTATTTCTTTCACATTACTTACACAATTCGTACGATTCTTTTTTGTTTATCTTTGATAAACTATCAACTATAAAAACATATGTCAAAATTAAAAAAAAAATATATATATATATATTTTTTAACATTTAATTAAATTTTAATTAAGATGTGATAAAAATGAAGAAAGTTTGGTTAATATCATAGCAAAAGTTATAAGCCAATAATATTTGAGATAAAACTTATTGTAATATTGATATATCATTTAAGATATAAACATATTATTATTGGTAAAATGTTTCCTGTATATACATTGAACAAAACTAAAAAAAAAAAAAAAACAGTAATAGATTTAAATCGTATGTTATATATATATATATATATAGTCATCATTTTAATGAAAAATGAATAATATGAAAAAATTGACTATTTTACTTGTCTTCTTGAAAATATATATTCTTATATATATAGAGAGAGATAGAATCATTACTATGTGTATATATATATTTATAATTTCATCTGGAGTTGATATACTCCTCGAGTGTGTGTTATTTTTATTTACATACAATTAAAAGTACGAAAGAGTAACAATTTAACAATCCATAATGTATACATATATATATATATATATATATATATATATATATATGTTTATTTGTTCCTAGTTAAAAACTATTATTTTTCTTATGTTTAAATGTTTCCGAAGACCAGTTTTAAAATTAATATCAAATTTCAAATAAAATTACAATAAAATATTAAATATATATATATAATATATAATATAAAATATAAAATAACAAATTAAGCATAAATATTGGTGCTGAAATTCATGACTATTTTTTTTTTTTTTTTTTGTAATATCTCAATTTTCATTACATTGATTATAACACAACGAAGTGTATTTATTTTTCGTTAATAATGTTAAATATTGAATAAATTTTCTAAAGTCAGATTATTAGATTAAAAATAGAATATAGCATATATATTTAGCACCAATATCTAAATCTTGTGAAGCACCAACACTAGCACCACCTTAGATAACAATGTTGATATTGTTCAAATTGAAATCACGCATTTAGACCAAATAATTTCAAAGCATTGAAAGCGGTAGCTAAAGCAACTTCTTCAGGAGTTGTTTGCATAAACGCTGCTACCATTTCTACTATAGCTGGCAAGGCACATGGCTCGTTACGTTGAAAGGTGCAATAACGATGAAGAAAAGTCATGGATCTTTCAGTTAAAGCATCCTTAACACGTACAGGTAATTTACTAGCTCTCGTATTGGGATACATGAAAGGTGCATCAGTTTCAACTAATATTTTATCTAACGGTGCTTGACCAGCTTCCAACAACTGTCTAATACCGCTATCTGATTTATCTTTACATAGATAACCGGTTATTCCTAAATAAAATCCTTGATCCAGATAAATTTGTGCTTCCTCAGCGGTACCGATGAAAGAATGAATTAAAACTGGTGGTAAACGATTTTTGTAATGACTGAGAACTTCCAATACGTCTGCTTGAGCTGCTCTCTCGTGTATTATAAGTGGTTTATTTAATTGACACGCAAGTTCTACTTGCTTATGAAAAACAGTACGTTGTGTCTCAGGATCAGAAAAGTCACGATTGTAATCTAAACCGCATTCTCCTATTGCAACGCATTCCGGATTGGTAGCTATACTTTCGAGTTCTTGTAAAGTATCTGGATTTTCCCAAGACTTGGCATCATGAGGATGTACACCGGCAGTAGAGTAAAGTGTACCGGGATATATTCTTGTCAGTCTTAAAGCTTCTTTACTGGAACGAATACTTGCACCCGTAACCATGATCTTTTGGACTCCGGCATCTTTAGCTCTTTGTATTACACTATCTAAATCACGACTATATTTCTTATTGGTTAAATTGGCACCGACATCAACAATAATATAATTTTCATAACATCTTGTCATATCTGAGGAAATTGCATTTTCCTCCGAATTAGAACTAGCAGCATTTTCTGCCATTGTTTGTTATTTAATTAAGGAATACCTGAAACATACAATTTTTACGATATATATTTAATATATTAATAAATAATAATAATAATAATAAAAATAAACCTATCTTCGACTGAGTTATATCAATAAAGTTGATAGAATAAACATAAATATTCTTAACCTATAACTATAACCTATAACTTATATATTTTATTAAATAAAATGAACGAATGTAATATTTTCAAATATTTCTTATAAAATAATATAATCAAATGTATAATATTAAATTATTTGAAAAGTTCATTTGAAAACTTGTATGTACATTTCTTTATCATACTTTGACAATCATGCTAAATTGAAAACTCACGTAACCACTTCTAATTTAACTGGTTTAATTAATATCGTTAATAATATATTTTTATTAAACGTTAATTATATTAATTTCAATTAAACAAACCTTATTTTATATTCCTCTAAATAATAAGATAACTTAAACGAACGAAATTGACAGGATCAATTACAATATGTTCACTTCGACATTGTTGATATCACAAAACTTAGAAGACTAACATTTTGAAGAGGTTAGTCAATGATTAATTGATACCATTCGAAGTAACTTGGTACATTGCATTTGTTTATTTTAAGATAAATTTCATTTTCAAACTAGATATTTTATATTATTTCTATTAATAAAACGATCGTCATCATTATTATTATTATTATTATTATTATTATTATTATATTTATTACTATATTTCTTATTTCGTAATAAAATTTATATTTTGACTTAACTCCAATGAAATTACACACATTTTTATCTTATTGAATAATTCTTTTTTTTGTTTTTCATTATAAAATATTATTATTATTATTATTATTATTATTATTGTGTATATGTGTGTATGCATGTATAATTAATTAAATAAACCTTTTATTCACATGACATATATACACACAATATAATAATTTGTTAAATTTATAATATAAAATAGATAAATGAAAAAAAAAACAAAAAAAAAACAAAATAATTGTATAAAAATATTGACTATATTATAAATGAAATATTATTTGTTTTTATTTTTACATGCATGTATTATTAATCATACATGTTATAAATCATTTATTTATATGTTTTGTTAGTGTTCAATAGATCATCGATTAAAATGAAACGACGTTCCAAATCACAAAAAGTAGCTCGTGCCAAATGTATTATAAATAAAGTTAATTCCATGAAAGATCCATTGGAGATGCTTGAAACGTTTTACACGTATACAGGAAACAATGAATTTACAGTAAATTTAAGTTGCATTAAGGCAAAAGAAGCATCATCTGAATGTCGTCTTTGGATATTTGATATTATGGAAAGAAATATGAGACATTTGTATGAAAAATCTGATTGGGGATGGGATGCAAATGCTAAACAAAAAGAATTAACTGAACCAACTGCTTGGTATTTGTTAGCATCTTGCAATAACAAATTCATTGGATTTTCTCATTTTCGTTTTGACATAGATTATCAAATTGAAGTATTATATTGGTAAGTATAAACATATATATATATATATGAATTATTATTATTACAATGTAACATACGATAAATTGTATTTGTTCAAAATATTATATTTATATCTGTCAAGTTATGAATTACAATTGGAAGAATCAGCGAGAGGTAAAGGCCTTGGTCGTTTTATGATGCAAGCTCTTGAATCTATGGCATCGAAACATAAAATGCAAAAAGTTGTATTGACTGTATTAAAAAATAATCCACCTGCTTTACACTTCTTCTATGCGCTTGGGTAATAAAATTTATATATATATATATATATATATGTATATATTAATTCTAATTATTACTTATTTTATTTATTATTATTAATAATAATAATCAAATTTTTTATAAATAAAAATACAAGACTAATAATGGCGTGTATCAACTAAAATCACAAAAATATTATTTTTAAAATATAACTTAAGACAAAAATAGTACAGGGTTTGAGGTAGACTTAACCATACAGTATAATAATAATAATTAATCAATTATTTCATGTATTTTATAAATAAATTCTATGTATATATATATATATATATAAATATACATATATTTATATATAATCATAGAATATTTATATATATATATATCTATATCTATAATAATACTTAGTAATTAAATAATTGTACTTAAAAAAAAAAAAAGAAAGAAAGCTTGCCTTTAAGTATAATTGTACAAGAATGTTCATTGAATTATTTAATGTGTCTAATAATTATAAATATCTATCTACAGTTTCGCTCAAAGATATAATCAGCCTTATCATTAAAAAAAAAAAAAAATGTTCTTTCTTATCAGATAAGTTTTCTTTTTTTTTATACAAAATTCATTGATATTTATATATATATATATATTTCTTTAATCATAATTTATTTTTTATTTTTATTTGCAGTTTCAAATTGGACAACACAAGCCCACCGAATTCGGAGAAGAAAGATTATGTTATTTTAAGTAAACAAGTATTAATACCTGTCGCATCGTGAAAAGATTTTTATTTATATTATATTTAATTTAAATATGTCTCTTTTTTTTTTTTTTTTTTAATATTGCGTTTTATGAAATAAAATAGACAAAATTTCATTGGGACACAAATTGACGATAGATGATTTAAGAAACGAGCCAACATCATAAAATGTAAGAGGAGCTTTGCTAATTGTCATATCCTTCAAATGATTTAAAAATGATAAATTTATTTTTCCGGTATTTGTTATATTAAATTGTTGCAAATAAGTCTCTGTACCCCAACAAAGATCTAATGCAGTTCTGTATAAAACCATACCAATACCTTTGCCAGCTCCTTCAGGAACGAATAATACTCTTAAACTAATAACATTTATATTGATCGGAAGATCATAATGCAACGGAGTAAAATGCGGTTGCAAATTATATGGCAATGAATTATGAGGATGCATTGCTATTATCGGATACAATAATTCTTCCGATGCTAAATGCGCGGCTACAGATAACAAACCTGAAGGATGACCAGTAGCTGTAGATGCTGGACAATTTAATCTCCTTCTTTCAAATACTAAAGTAAACAAATGATTTGTCAATAAATTATCCGTTACACCTTGACTTAATCCTCTGTTATCATCTTGAAGTAATCTTCTATCTTGCATAATCTACAAATGTAATATCAAAGTATATTTGTAACATTTATTCAATTATTTTATAATTATTTATTAATCGTATTAAGTGTACATTACCTCTATTTGTCCTGATGCCATAGAAGCAACCCCTAATGGTTGTGCAGTTACTATAGTTAATCTTTTATGCTTATCTTCAATGTATGCATTTGCAGCCATTGGATAATAATTGGCTTGTGTTGGTAATTTTGGAAATCTTTGGCGTCTAATTATCTGGGATCATGAAAAATTGTATATATAATGAATTGTTAACAAATATTAGACAAAATATTGATGATACTTACACCGAGGCCATTTAAATCAGTAAAAAATTGATCTCCAGACATTATATCTGTGTTTAATCTCATTGCAAGTTCATAATTTTGTGTCTCTGTTATATCAACTTCATTTAATATGTTTAATCCAATACCATCGCTACCAGGTGAATTATATAATATACAAGTATGGCGTACGTATGGTAATTCGACAAAAACTTTCGATAAAATGGGACCAGTTACAAGATGAATAATATGTTTATTTTCCATAAATATTAAATCTGGATCTGGTTTGTCAGGTAAAAATAAATATGCACCGCTTTTATCTTTGCCAGAACCTCTAGTGCCATATTTAACAAATTCTAAATGAACTGGGTAGGTAACATTGTCGACTTTTAAAGCTTTTAAGAAACCAGATTTTCCAAATGACGCAGATAATTCTATTCTTTGAGATATGGAAAATTCTTGAGCGAGAGCTTGTACTTGCATATGAGAAAAACCTGGCACCGTTGTTAGTGGTAGATCAGTATTAAATACTGTGACATTAGCTGCATAAACATCTCTAAAAAATAACGTTATAAATTAACAAATTATTTATTTTCTCATATATATATATATATATATATTGACTTACGAAGGAAATACTTGTTGACGAAGTGCATGTATCACGTATGTACTAATCCCAAATCCTGGTACAGTAATAAGAAAAGATAATTCGTATCTAGCAGCAGATGGTGCAGCAGGTCCAACCCAAACTGGGGATACTTGGGATTTAACGTATTGTCCTGTATGATCGGTAACTCTGACGAAAGGTGTTGAAACGATTAAAGTTTGTATGTTTTTTCTTTGTCTTGGAGAAGGATTGTATATTATAACTTTTTTCTTAGGATTTTCATCTCCAAGTATGAGTATATGTTTTTCTCCAGGACTCGTATGATGAGACCTTTAACAATAATATAAATAATTGAATGAATTTTAAGTTATTGTGTGATTTAGTAAAATAATTACAAAAAAAAATATATATAACTATTAAATTATTTAATATGATAAGAACCTTACAACCTCTACACAAACAGCAAAAGATACTAACTAGGAATAAGTATCTGTTTTCGAACCTAGTCTCATCCAATGTAAGGTAGTGGGCTTCTTGATCAATTGTTGATCCTTCAGAAGTTTTTAATAAATGCATAACAGATTGTTGTAGCACGTGTGCTGTATTATTTAATGCTAATATCATTTTCTGAGCATAATCTATAACTACGTTATCTCTAGCAGTTCCACTAACACCATCGTGATGTTGAAACAACGAGTGCCACATTCTAGCGTTGCTTAATCTAAGTGCTATGTTGCCTTCAGCTAAATGATAAATGCCTTTGGCCCATGCTATCGTTGACAAAATTTCAGAGGCCCTTAAGGAACCTAATAATACACGATCTAATCGTTTATGGAATGGCCTATAAAAGAATAAGATTTATTTATTAACAAAGAAACAAATATACATTTTGTTAATAATATAAAAAACAATAATATACCTTGATGTATAATAACCACTCCAATAATGATCATCCCTATCGGAATAAGTAAAAAAGTCACCGGACAAAGTAGGAAACTCTTCTAAATTGTATTTGTCTCTTACGGCATCAAAATAATCGCTCAACGTTCCAAATTGTATCTCAACGTTCAATTGTTGATTTAAATTTAAATAATCAAAAAGATGTTGATAATTGTTGAATTGTGCATCCCATTCGGTAACATGGGCATATCGAAAATCATCACCCAATGGTACTAATAATACATTTGTTTTAAAAAGTTGCGACTTTTTACGATATTGATCCAATAACAACGTAGCTCTTTCCGCTATATTTGCTTTAGTTATAGCTCGTGGATTAACTTTCCATGGACAGGTCAAACCAAAATTAGGAAGCCTATAAAAATCAAATTGACAACATATTTTAGGATCTGGTCCACACGTATGAGGTATATCGTAACTGTAAAATGGCATCATATGAGTAAACAATTCTGTAGAGCCGTTGTTGTCCCACAATTGTCTCCATCGAAATTCCAATTTCTTTTCCTTCGCTAATTTCTTTTTAACCGAATAATGTACCCTTTGTATAAGCAAATTATTTAACCCAGCTCCTTTCAATAAATATGGCATAGTTGGTGAAAGTCCAAATGGATCAATCGCCCATCCTGAATTAGGTACATAATCCAAATTATGTTTCAACCATTGATGTCCTTCCGTTAATTGAGTTAGTTGAGCAATCCAATGAGAAACAGATTCATCTGGCATAACCCAACCACCTGCTACTATTTCCAATTGTCCATCGTGAATTAAATTTCTGACTAAATCTTGCGTTACTTTTGATTGTTCGTCCCACCAAAGTTTAAAGAATGAAACCTCGGCCCATATGAATTTACGACGTTTATCCTCCGCCAATTTGGTAACCATATTATTTAATATATTTCTTGTTTGAGATGTATAATACTTTTCAAAAGTATTCAACCATCCTGGATCGTTGTGCGAATGTGGAATAACAAAAACTTTTAATTTTCTATTAGGATGCCATTGTTCTTTGTTATATTTTATATTCCATCCTTGTTTCCATACTCCACCGTCCGGATTGTCAAAATCCAATATTTTATATAAATCTAACATTTGTATATCCACCTCTGGTGTACGATTGAGATTAAAATTGCATTCGGATAATTTCTCTACGTTATTTTGGATTGGACCCGATTGTTCATGATTATTTGTTTTTTTTAATACCGGTAGTAAATTTGGATTAACTTTAGCTGCTTCTTGAAGAGCACTCATGGCTTCGTGATGTTTGTTAAAATCTTTTTCTAATTTAGCTAATCTACTTTCAAAATGTAACCATTGATTCTAAAAAGAAAAAGATAATTATATTTACATTAGTATTCCATACAAATATAAATTGAACAAAAATATTTAATACAAAAGAAACATGTAATAAACTTACATTGTGCATTGACAATTTGGTATCCTGTCCTGGAGGAAAAAATGTCAGATCCATCATTAAATATGTCATTAAACAGCAGGCAAGAATTAATCCTGCTCCAAGAATGGCCAAAGTTTTTCTTGTCTTCATATTATATATTTTTCAAATGATAAATTCACATTAAATAACTTATAAATGTCATATAACTTTATTTTTTTTAGGTTAATCCTTTTTATCCTCTTCTTTCTTTTTTGACGTTTATATAATAAATTGTTCACCGAAGTATAAAAACTAATTTATAAATTTAAGTACTAGCGATGCATATACATTAAAAATAAAAGAATGAACTCATTCAATTGTTTAAACAATAAAAACGTGAAGTACTTATTTAAAATATTATCTTATATGTCAAGTGTGTTTAGAACTAGAAATTGTTTATCGTTGCATCTGATAGCACGAACACATACACACATAACATATGGGTATATTATATATACATATTCGCATTGCACCAATTCACAAATATAAATTAGATAACATTTCTAGATAATAGATAATGTATATTTTTTTAATTGCACTATCGTTAATTGATTATCTAAGAAAAAAAGATACAAATATCAGTTACGTAATTCGATACACGTAGTCAAATAATAGATAAATATTATTTTTCTTTTTGTTTCATATGATTCTCTCATAATGATTTTGTTTTCTAGTTAATGTCACAGCCAATGAACGGTAAATGGGATTTATATTATTTTTCACTAAAAAAATTTGTCCAATTTTTCTCTTTGAAAACTCCTCCTATTAAAATAACTAGCTCGTTTAACCAATCAGGATAAAGGATTAAATTAACCAATCAGAATAAAGGATTAAATTGACCAATCAAAATAAATCCTGTTTATATTCATAATTTCAATTGTTTAAACATATAATTATTTTGTTAATTAATTATAAATAATTATTTATAATAATATATGTGATATGTTGCATATTTTCATAGATTGTAACAATGAAATATAATAATAATTAAATCATCTTATAAAAATTGTTTATATTTATTTGAATGATGACACATTATTATGTGTATATATAGGTTGATATAAAAAAAAAAAAACGTACAATGATATTAAATTTTTTATTATTCGTATGATGGCAATTATGTCACATTAAAAGGGTAAATCTTTACCAACCTAAACTAACAAATATGGTTCCTACCATGAATAACATGACTTGATAAAAATGAGTAAGAATAAAGACATTTCATCTAATTTAATACAGTGATATTGCAATAGTATTGTGTGAACTTTAACAAAGAGTAGACCTGCGAAATAGATCATCAATAATTTTCAATTTGAATTAAAAAGAAATTCATCCCAAATATGGAGGTTGACAACGATCAAGATTTGAAAGATTCAAATATGAATAAAAATTGTAATTCAAATAAAAATAAGAAATATCAAATGGAATATGTTTATAATAAATTACTACCTTATTATAAAGAATTAGAAAATGAATCTGAAACGATGTTGGCTGATATTAAAGGAAATTTAGGACGAGCTGTTATGTACCGTGAAATAGAACCTGGATGTTTATTATGGACGAAGAGATTAAATAAGTGAGATTTATACTATTCAAAATAATATATACAATTTATATATTATTATTATTTCTATAATAAAACTGTTATTATTAAATTATTCTATGTTCTTGTATTATCTACAGTTTATTAAAAAAAAAAACAAAAAAAAATACATATTTATGTTAATATATCATATTTATAATAATATATTTTATATTGTATGTGTTAACTGTTCAAGTCCTAAGATTTTTAAAAATGGTCTACGAATGACAAGCAAAATGATCAATATGTTACATGACATTTTAATAACATTATATTTTTGTAGAAAAAACAAAAAAAAAGTTAAACCAGTATTTTGGGATTCAAACAGTTAAACGAAAATATCATAAATTAAATTTCCTATCATTTTTACTAACAACTCTATTTATAATCTTAATTGTATATATATATATTTTTTTTAATTATAGATATATAAAGTTATATAGCTTCAAGTTCAGCAAAGAAGATCATATATATTTTGTTAAATTATATTACGAATTAATTACTATACCAGATATCGATCCGTATCAAATCAAAGAATTTGCAAATATTTTAATTCTATTATTAAAGTAAGTATTCCTTTAATTATCCATATGTTCAAAAAATAAATAAATAATAATAATAATAATATACTAATCATTAATTATAATATAAATATAATTGTTTGTTATGTTAAATCTAGAAAGATAAGATTACTTTCTCCGGATGATTTGACACTTCCATGGAGACCATTATACGAATTAAATAAAAAAGTATTATGCAGAGCAACGACAGCTTTAGGAATGTACCATTTTCATCCACTTTTACCACGCTCGTTATCTTCCTTGATACGTTTATGCAGAATTTATTTTCCAGTAAGAAGAACAATCTTAATAACTTTTTAATTATATTATCTATATAATTACACAATTATATTTTAAATATATATATATATATATTTTTTTTTTTTTTTAGTTAAATGCAACACAAGAAATCTTAGATGAATTCAGGCCAATGATATGTCCATTCAATGATAACTTTATGAATATCTTTAAAAAAATTGAATATTTTTTACCATTGAATTTACCTCCGCAACATCATTCTCTTGGACATCAATTATGGTTCCATGAATTTATGAATTTATGGAACGTATGTCGTAATGGAGCTTCATGGGAACCTGAAATGATGTGGTTAATGGCTACATTAGCATCTCAAAATATTGGATATATCGATTGGGAACCATACATACCTCTCATGTTTGCTAGATTTGTACGCTGTTTCAATTTACCAGTATCGTATAAACAAACGCAAGACATGAAAACTCATAAAATGGATACTTTATCTATAGCTATATGGATAGTATCCGTTTTGGTAAGATATTATTGTATATGATAATCGTTAATATTAGATTAATTAATTCATTAATTCAATTATTGTATTAATATATTTCAGGGTAATAAATCTAGTGCACAAATATATCTTGAAAAATTTTTAAAAAGTATAGAAACATATTTTCAACCTGCCAATGTTGGTAAATGGTCTGGAAAATTGAGGGAATTTCTTATGAAATTACCATATCGTTTTATTTTACGTATACACAAGTAAATATATTTATTATTAATCAAATAATACATTGATTTTGTGTATAAAATTAATTATTGATTTCATTAAGACAATATTTTGTAATTGTAGAGAGAGATATGCAAAACGAACATGGGAAACACCAATTCCTGACGAGTACAAATTAACCGATGAAGATATAGATACTTTTGTTAAAAGCATGATGCCTTTAGCTATGACAGCAATGTTCACCAGATTAAATGCTTCAGATCCTTGTTTAGCTTTACAGTATCTTGCTAATATGAGACCTAATTTAGTAATACCACAGGTTGTTGATAGAATGTATTCTACATTAGATTCTTTAACAGAACCTCATAAACTCACTGCAGCTATGGTTGGTATGATATCCGTAGCTAAGCCTATGGTACAAGGATCTAGAAATATAAATAAAGGTAATGTATAAATTATTATTATTATTGTTATCATGATGACATTAAGAAAGTTTGAAATGTATTTTATTATATTAATTGTTGTTTATTTTTAGGATACACATATGCGGAAGGTCCAATGCACGTTGTACCCATTTTATTTTCACTTCTACCTGGTATTGATCCAAATGATATTGGCAAATGTGTCGTTACATTACGTTTAATTTTCATTTACGCACTTTTAATACCTTTCGTCGATTCGTCAAAATCATCAGCAATAGCTGACGAAGAGGAAAAAATGATATGCGAAATGACATCGCGCTTTGAAGATTTTATCTTACAATTTTTAGATAGAATATTTACATTCATTGACACAAGCTCGTTAGATTTTATAAGACCGGAAAATAATCAAGGCAGCGGTAAAAGTAAATTAGAAATATTGGCTGAAGAAGTATTGGAAACTGTATTTTCAACGTTATTACATAAAACGAGTGATACGATATTTCTCAGTGCTTTACACAAATTACGCGTATTCGTTAGCGAACGTATTTTAGAGACAAAGGTTGCTGGCGAATTGGTAGCGGTTATTTGTCAAGTTTTTGCTAATATTAATGGTCATGAGACATTACGAGCATTGGTACCATTTTTATCCGAAACAATATTAGATGTAATTGGTGAAAATGATGATATATTAAAGGAAGAAAATTTGGATAATCGTTTGTTATACGCAATGCTTTTGTTATCCGCCATAACTGAAACCGCTGGTAATTATTTATTACCACATATGAATACATTCGTTGAAATTCTCGACAAAGTATTATTATTAGAATCGAAAGAAGGAGTTAATTATGCTTGTCGATTACTCAAAAGTTTACTTGCCTCGTTGAGCACATTGGACATTGATAAATTTAAAACACACGGAAGGGATTTCAATGATCCGGAATATCCTTATACCAGACATTGGGGAGAAGAAATTGATATTGATTCTATTCAAATTAATTGGTACATTCCTGGTAAAGATGAATTTCAAATGGTTCAAAAATTATTCTTCAGATATTTGCCTAAACAATTAGAATTATTGCAAAATTATTGTCAAGATTGGAATTGTTTGTCCAGGTACGTATTCTTACCTTTTTTTTTAACAATGTCTACTATCCTCCTCCCCCCCCCGCCCATATATATTTATTTTTTGTATTTTCATGTTAAATGTATTTTATATATATATAAAAAAAAAAAAAACCCCTTTGTTCTTCTTACTTTTATTAACTTAATTTCATTTCATTTTTTTTATTTAGACTAAAATAAATGCATTGCACTAATATAACATAAATATGGATAAATGATTATAGAGAGAAGCTCCTGGCCGTACTGAGAATTGTAAACTGTATTGTTAAAGGGTGCGAAGATTTTTTACCATTTTGGGAAGAACCACCGCTTACTTGTATCGAATCATCGTTAGAATGGGCACCGTTTAATCCAACTTCCGGTGACAATTATGAAATAGTTATGCCCGATGGAAGTAACGTGAAAAAATACTTAATTAATATATTGAGTAATCTGCAAAACGTGTTATTAAAAAATGTCGAAGATGAAACGAGATGTTTGTTAAATTTGGTCTTATTATGGGAGTTCTTGTTGTTAGGCGATAGACGTATGCAAGATTTTTACGAGGATAGACAAAAAAAAATGAAAAGAACTCAAAATTTGTTGAATGACAGATTGGTGAAAAGTAAAAAACGCGTGGAACATATTTTAATGGAACAAGCTTTTATTCATCATGAGACGAGACTTCAATTGAAATCGCACAAGTTCACGGAAACGCATAAAAATATAATGTTAGAACTTGTTGCATTGGCTACCAGCAGATATGCCAATGTAAGAAACAAAGCACAATTTGTACTTACTTCCGGTATATTAACATATCCATTTTCGTATACGTTCATCGTTCCACATTTAATAGACGTTCTGGAAAAAGATAGTGAAATACATCACGATGCTTTCAAGGTATACACACACGCACACACAATTTAATAATAATCATATATATATAAGTAATAATTATGTTTACTTATTTCAATCGTTTTTGTTCTTTTCTTTTTTACAAACAGGGAGTGTTGTATATTTTACATCGTCCTTTAAACGATCCTATTATAACACAACGTAATTGGCATATGTTGCGATCGTTATTACCAAAATTAATTCTATCAAAACCGTCAGAGAAACTTTCAGTTATACGATTAAAAGAACAATTAATTGATACGATGAAAAATAAATATCAAAATATGTTTATTGAATTAGAAATACCAGATAGATGTCTTATAGCTGCATCTAAATTATGGGAACATTATCCTCATCCAATGTTATCTAAACCTAATGAAAATGAGATAGAAAAGGGTATAGAAAAATTGAAAGAAACTTCACGAGCCAATTTAGAATCGTATTATGGTCTTTGTGATGATTTGTTAAATGCTATTCTTGAAACTAATCTTCATTGGAGACATAGATTAATGTCTATGGAATTTATACGAATATTTACTTACGAAAAATATCCATTTTCGTTAAAAGCAGTGAGATATTTTCTAGAAGCATTGATTCACGATTCTTTGGACGAAAGGAAGATTGCTATACGTGTTATTGTTCATATACTCAGACAACAGAAAAGAAAACATCCAAAAGTAATTGATAATGATATTATTTAACGAATATATTATAAAATGTCTATTAATACTTATTAATATTATTTATTTATTTATTTTAGATAAGTGTTCCTATAACAGATGTATGTAAAAAAGAATTGTTATCTGATGCTGTGATACCAGGAGAAAGGGCAGACAATACTTGGTTACAATACGATTACAATAATCGTCCAACCACGTCAAAACAATGGGATGAACAAAGATATATTCATCGTCCAAATATTGGTTATTATACGTGGCCAAAAATAATCGAATTTTATGCACCATCATGCGAACAACCAACGCTCGATCCTAAAATTCGTCAATTTACTGATGAAGAAATGGAGGTCGAACGTTTCTTTGATAATCCTCAAAATATTGACAAAATTATCGAATTTTATAGTATCGAAGAGAAAATGGATAAAGATAGATATAATTGTTACAAATATCTTTTATTTAAAAGTATATTTCGTAATCATGGTATTACTCCTTTGAAACATTTCGTACCACATTTACATGAATTGGTTAAGGATAAACAAGAAAGTAAACAACGATGTGCAACGGAAATAATTGCTGGTATAATTCAAGGATCAAAACATTGGCCTTTTGAAATGGTTTGCGATATGTGGAATGAATTATTACCGATAATAAGATCGGCATTGGATAATTTAACTGTTGAAACTATTATTGATTGGACTACGAGTATATCGCTTTCTATGCATTGTAGAGATCCAAATAGACAACATTGGTTGTTAGAATGTTTGATGGAAGAACCTACTTTAGGAGAATTTGAATCATCGTTTATAGAATCTGGACGTTTGTGTGTACTACAAGGTGTTCTTATTTTTCAACCATGGCGTTTAACACAATTGATGCAACGTTTGTTAATTCGTTTAGAGAATAGATTATTGACTAATCCATTTAAAAATTTGAGAGATCGAATAGGTGCATTATTATTCGTCGTATTTGAAGCTGATCTTAGATTTCCGATATCTTATTCGAATCGTGCTATACCACAAGCGCAACATTTCATAGACAAAGTAATTCCAAAATTGCAAATACTCGCAGAAAATTCCGAACAATTGTTTAACGAGAGTAAACAATCATTAACGACTGCTGCTGCTGTTAACAATGATCTCAAGTCCGATGATAATTCTGTAAATAATATTCAATTGGATATTAACGAACGCGAGGCAACTATTAGATTGTTGAAAATTATTTGTAAATGGGTAGCACAATTCGTTTACAAATCACCAAGCGGTACATTGCCAGAATTTTATCAATTGTTTCCGATCATTTGTCAAATGGAAAATTATGAGACCGATGACGAATTGGTACAAATCTGTACAAATTCTTTAGCATTTCTCGCACAATCCATCATATTACCAGACGACATGCCAACAGTTTTAAATGCAATTGTCAAAATGTCGACAAATGTATCATGGTCCGCTAGAGATACTTGCTTGGAATTTTTACAAACTTCCATTTTTTATAACATGAGTATAGTACTGATGAAAGAAGAATGGGTTAATTGTATCAAAGATGTTGTTTTACATTTATTAGAAGACATTCGTTTGGAAGTTAGAGAAAAAGCTGGACATGTTCTTGGTGGACTATTACACTGTGGTTTTATACCAGATCAAAATGCTTTATTGGTAAGTTGATGATATTAAAAGATTATAAATATCTAATGAACAACTAATAATGATTATTTCATTTTTAGGAACAATTTAAACTTAAAGCCAAGACTAAATTGCATAAGAAAGGTCGTTCGATGCACAATCAAACAGAAGCTGAGAGAAATGCTAATGCTGATGCATTACGTTTACGACATGCAGGTGTATTGGGACTTTGTGCATTTATTCGTGCACACCCATACGATGTACCTAATTATTTACCATTCATTTTTGAACATCTTGATCCTCATTTGAATGATCCTCAACCTGTACCGGTTAGTATATATTTACTAAATAATATAATTATTCCACTATAAGATGAAATCTTATGGGAATAAAACATAAGAAAACATCAATTATAACATAGTGCAAAGTGTTATAGATTATATAATTGAAATATATTGTTCATTTTTTTTTTTTTTTTTTAGACAACCATAAGAAAAGTACTAGGTGATTTTAATAGGACACATTATGATGGATGGAACGGTATAAATGGACACGCGCAGCATTTTACAGAACGACAATTAACCATACTGCAAGATTTATTAGTACCACCGTCATATTACGCGTGACTGTTAAATAATAACTTAGTAAATATTTTCTCTTGATATTTACATTAAAAAAAAAAAAATTAAAAAAAAAACAATATATATATATATATATATATATAGATATTTCTATTTATTTATATTTATTTTTGTTTAAATCTAAAATGAAATGTACTATTCATTTATGAGATATTTTACTAAAGTCACACAAATGATATTGACGATATAAATAAATTATATCTTATACTACTTATTTGTAAAAAGAAAAAAAAAAAAAAAGAAAAAAAAAATAACAAAAGAGGTGGTGTGTATTACAAAGAATATATGTTGTTTTAACCTGACTTTGTTTATAATTATTAAAATAAAAAATTTATATATATATATTATTATTATCAATGAAAAATAATCACCGAATATATTATTATTATTATTATATTATTTCTTTGAAAAAAAAAAAAAAAGTGAATTAATATATTTGTATTTGATTTGAATGTTAAGATTTATTTATTTATTATTTTATATTTGATAATTTGATATATTGAAAATCATACGTTCTAATTATTATTATTATTATTTCATTGTGAATAATTTCTTACGAGCTTATTCGACGATTGATTTGATCAAAGATAAAAAAAGGAAGAAAAAAAATTGAACAATAATTAGATTCGCATATTAAATTTGCAATCTAATTTGCACATATCATTATTGTATAAATAAACCAAATAAATAATTCAAAGTATAACGTAATATATCTATTTTAATTCATTTTAATTCATTTTAATTCATTTCAATCCTTTTCTTTTGTTTTTTTTTATACGCCATAATGTCTAACACATATAAATAATGATTACTAATAGATTACAAAAGTAAGAATTTGAAATGATATACTTGTAGATTGTAACTATTGAAATACACAACTCATTCTTTTGGAAAATGTTCATCGTAAAAAATGAAATATCAATAATGTAAAAACGTAATATATAAAATAATAATTAACAATCTCGTAGTATCAAGTTTATATATTAAAACTAACACACAATAATAATAATAAGAAAAAAAATGAAAATGAAAATTATGGAAATGTTTGTTAAGTAATTTATGGTACTTACATTTTACTGACACATACCGTTTTTATTCACACATTGTATAATAATGTGTATTTTTTTTTTTTTTTTGTAATTACACCATTGTATATACCCGAGTACTAAAAACTTCTTATACGTATTATTATTATTATTAATTAATAATTAATAATTAGCTGACATAACAATGTTATTAGTAGCACAATATAAATTTTATATATATATATATATATCTTCAAATAAGATAATTTGTATTTTTTTTTATATATTGACGATATTATTTATGCACATTAGATATATATATATATATATATAGTAAAATGTATAAAGAAACAAATTACAGTGACCCTTATTATCTTTGTATAAAAGATACGTTGTTCTCTCTTTAAGTTTGTTTTTAATAATTAAACATTTGACTATAATTTCCCTCATTACACGTATAAAAGTTGTTTAAATGTGCATTTTGTTTATCCTTATCTTCTATAGAATTATATTTTTAAAATTTTGCATTATTTGTTTATTTTTTTTTTTTTGTTAATCCTTTTTCTTCATTTTGTTTAAAATTACCGCTTCTCTCCCATTATCTACACATATAAATATATATATATATATATATATATATATTGAATGTAAATATTAAAATAAAATGAAATAATTATAATTCTCATAATAATGTGAACGTATCTAATGAAAAATACTACGTTAAACAATGTCACTAATTTATGAGAAACAAATTAAAAATTGCAATTGAACGAAAAAACGAACGAACGAACGAACGACAACACTACTACAACACAAAACGTAATTATGTGTATAATAATATGTCGTATTATTTTGTTGATTAAATATCATTGCAATATTATTGTAAATTATTAATTGCTAATGGAATGAGAGGTAACACTTTCTAGAAATGAAAATTCGAAACAGAGAGAAAGAGAGAGAGAGAGAGAGAGAGAGAGAGAGAAAAACAAAAAGAAAAGATATTTATTTAAATCAACATTTCACGAATTTATAGTTTCTACTTAAATACACACACGCAAAAAATAAGATAAATAACAATAATGAGATATAAATGATCCTTGTTGATTGTAATAGTAATAATAGTAGTAGTAATAGTAATAGTAGTATGGTTTGAATATTAGTGAAATGTCGATTTGAAAAATATGTAACCGAGGCCAAAGTTACATACAAGTTACTAAGAAATTGTTTTGTTTTTCTTTTTTTTTTTTTATAAATGTTATAATAATAATAATAATAATAATAAGCATCTTCCATTATGTAATAATAATATTATACAATTTAAAAAGCGTGCAGGTGCTTATTGTTATTTTTTTTTTTTCTTTTTTTTTTGTAAATATATTTATGTTCCACCTTATTATAGAAGTATATATAACATATGTGTTTTTATGTATATATGTATGTATGTATGTATGTATGTATGTGTGTGTCTCTGCATATTATTTTAATGCATTTTCAAATATTTATTAATATTATATTAAATTACGTTATTAATCAGAGAGAGAGAGAAAGAGATAGAGAGAGAGAGAGAAAGATAGAATGAGAAATAAAAAGAAAAAAAAAAAATAAGAACAAATGTACTCAACAGAACGGTAAACTTTCAATAGGAAAAATAATGACAATCCTTAGGGACACATTTGAAAAATTCTTTTGGATTTTAGAAAGGCGAGGGGGTGGTTGGNGGAGAGAGAAAAGCTGGGTATATATATATATAGGGCCAATAATTATAAATTGTACATGTTACAATTAAGCTAAGAAACTCAAAGTGCTTATTTTTTTTTGTTGTTGTTGTTTTTTTTTTCTTCTTCTAATATTCATACAGAAAAAAAACTTATTTTAATTGATTTTTCCTTCTTTTTTGTGTTGTTGTTGTTATTATTATTATTATTGTAATGGAAATTTTGCCCACATGTGTATGTGTGTGTAGTAGTAGTAGTAGTACGTGTTCTAAAAACATGTTTCTTTGAACATTGTAATACTAAGTTTGTTATTTCTTCTATACATATTGTTCACTTTTATACTAAATATATAAATCATATGCTGAGTAAATGATGTTGTTTGTTTAATCATTTTCACCCTTTTACAAAAGAAAGAAACAATTTAGAGGGGCGGTACAGGGGGTGCGGGGCGAAAGGGTGGCGAGGGGACAGGCAGGCAAACAATTGTTGCGTAACTCTGCACCAGAGTTGTTTTTTGTTGTTGTTGTTTTTTTTTTGGTGGTCCATTACGTGACAATATCTCACACATCGTGTATCTAATTAATATTAAACTGAAGAGACTTTTCCTTTTTTGTTTTTTTCTGTTTTTTTTTTCCTTTTATTTGTTGTTTGTTTCCATTTTCCCCATATTTTTCTTCTTTTTGTTTTTTTGTTTTTGTTTTTTTGTCTCCGGGTAATGTGTTTAATCATCATTTTGCAGTATATAAAACTGCAATTCTGTTTTTTTTCTTTTTCTTTTTTTAAATCATTTTGCAACGCGTGTTTCTAAAAAGAAGACAAATAATTGAACAATCAACGAATAATAGAGAATTTCGATGGAAATAAATAAATGCAGTATGTGTGTGTGTGTGTGTGTATGTTTACAGTGATGGTGGTGATGGATGGTACACATAATTTTGTGTGTGTGTATAAGATAAATAAATCTTACTTTTGGTAAAAGAGAATGACAATTACATTTCTCAGCAGCACCCAGATTTAGACGTCTCAATTGGACGTCCGTGTTCAATCTTAACCTTGTTTGCTGGATCACTAGCTCCACTCGATGGTGGACCCACTCTACTTTTTATTTCTGCAGCCATTGTCATAAATGCTTGTTCTACGTTCAAAGCATTTTTTGCTGATGTTTCTAAGAATGGAATACCAAGTTGATCCGCGTATTCCTAAACAAATGTTATGTATAATAAAAAAAAAAATGTATAAGAATAAGGTTAACAAATGATTTTGATATTGTTTTTGTCTTTGTTTGTTTTTTTACTTTTTTATTTTTTTTTTTTTTAAATACCTTAGCTGTAGTATAATCGACTACTTTTTTAGTATGAAGATCACATTTGTTTCCGACCAGAAGTTTATTGACATTATCACAGGCATAGCGATCAATTTCTTCCAACCATTGTTTGACGTTATTAAATGTATCTTGATCTGTGCAATCATAAACGACAATAATACCGTGCGCACCTCTGTAATAAGAACTCGTAATTGTCCTAAATCTTTCTTGACCCGCCGTATCCCAGATTTGCAATTTAATCGTTTTCCCGTCTAAATCAATTGTTCTTATTTTAAAATCAACACCGATGGTACTGATGTAACTTTCCGTATATGTGTCATCGGCAAAACGTAACAGCAAACAAGACTTTCCAACTCCAGAATCTCCAATTAACAATAATTTGAACAAATAATCACTGAAATATAAATTTTAATCCTTTTAGAATATATATTCAATTATTTTCAAAACATTATACACATATATTTATGAAAAATAATTTAACTGCGTCACATTTCATGTTTTTGTGAAAACACATATATATATATATATGCATATATATATATATATATATATAAACATCTAAACTTGATGTCACATTAAATACAATATTGATTTAATAAATTAAATGTAAAACATATTAAAAATAATATAAATAATTTTCAAGTATAAAATCAATGAAATTTCGTTGTTTAACATTACTATAAAATGTATACACACACACATATGTTTTTCAATATACAACTTGGTATTGAACCATTCCTATAAACTGTCAAAAATATAATCAAATGATTCATAATATCTTCAAATAGACGCATAGAAAAACCATTAACACACTAGTAATATATTAATTTAAACATATTCAATATACCTAACAATAAGGACAAACGTAAATACATTGAGAAATGCAACAAAAGAAAGAAAGAAAGCTATGATGATAAACGTAAAGAGAATGAACTTCTAAAATGGGGACGGTGGAAGGGGGGTGGTAGAAGAAAAAGAAAAAAGGAGAAGAGCAGGGGGGGGAGTGGTGGATCTGTCAGATAGTTCAGCTTGGAATTATTTTTTTTTTTTTTTTTTAAATGATCGGACAAGACGATAATTGAAATGAAATAAAATGATTTTTTAACGTTTAATCACGTATAATTGGTTAGAATCATTATCAAGTAAAAAGAAAGAAAGAGAGAATAAAATAAGTGGGTTATGGTTGGAAAAAGAAAAAAAAAAAAATGATGAAGTTATATATCCTCCTCTGTCTCTACGATGCTTACGTAGGAAAGAGAAGTTTACTTACTATTCCGGATTCATCGTGGACATACTATGTCGATATTAATACGTACACTAATATATATTTTACTTATATATTTATCACCTTTAATCTAATAACGTTTCACGTTAAAACAAAAACCTACGAATAAAAAACCTCACGAAAATAAGAATAATTCTACGTATTCACTAATCACGTTCAGTAATGCGAAGGAACTCTTAACAATGGCGGTCGCAGCAACTCCTCCCAAACGAACGAATCAGACGACCACCATTGACGTAATGCCAGAATGGCAGCAGGTGCTGTTTCACTCCCTCTACTGTCACGGGAATCGAGATACTTCAAAAAAACATTTACGTCTGCGCATATAATATTCTTCTGTCCTTGTCTTGTTTTTTTCTTTTCTCTCTGTATTTATTATGCATCTATCTTTTTTTCTTTTTTTTTTTTCTATTCTTATTTTTTTTTGTTTTGTTTTCTTTTTTTTTTCTTTTTCTATTACTCATTTTCATTTATTTCTATAGAAACTCTATGATTTTGCGATAAGGAATCTATGTTCGATGTATATCGTCCTTAAACGTTTTCTTTGGGTTTTTTTTGTTGTTGTTGTTGTATTATTTTGTTTTTACTTCACGATAAAAATGTTAATACAAATAAAATAATCAATAGACAAATACACCCACTAAATGATACCATTTTTATTTATATCCGTTATGTTCTTTTTTCTAATTATTCGTTAATAAAAAAGACATGATTAATTGCATATATCACTATTTTTGATTGTCATTTGTTTGAAATTCGTCCGAACGATTTCATTGGTCCATTTAACCATTATGGCTACTTTACATTAAATTACCAATAGCAAATCAGCGTACGCCGTTATTCAAATTAGTCATGTAAGATTATATTTTATTTATTAAAAATATATAAAAATTATATTCTAAATTTTGTTATATAATAACATTTTCATTTGTAATATTGAAACATATATTTTATAATATTAAATTAAATAGAGATAATTATTGTCAGTACTAACCTTGTTTTTGTACATTCAAGATGGGCGACTCGATTACTTCACAGTAACATTTTTCAATAGATTTTAATAATGTTCTGTGTGATACATTTAATCGTTTTAAGGTTTTTAAGTAATTGTAAACATAAATAATATTGTAAAATAAGTTATTTTAACAAAATTTAAATAACAGTACGTTGAGTTATTAATAATATGTAATTGAAGTGTTGACATAATTTGTTATAGAAAAATCAATTTGATGAACTGTCAAATTTTGTAAGATATATATATATTCCATGCTTTAAACAAAATATTAAAAGTTATCTTTAATGTCATTGAAATATTCAGAAAGCATTGATACATCAAAGCTTTCATTTAGAAATGTAGATGGAAAGAAATTAGGATTAAGCGAAGGCTGTACAAGCCCTAACTTTAAATCCTACGGTGTTATAAAATTTATATTATACAATGACGAACCAGTAAATGTTGTTATTTCCAGCATTTTACTTGTTTGTATAACGTTATTATCGTGGATAACATTTGATAGTATTATACCTTTTCTTATATCAATTCTATCTTTAATATTGTATGTTAAAAATTACCTTACTTCAACAAACAAGGGTTTGTTTAATTCTATCATTTATAATACGTGTACTAACCTCTTCAATGTATAAATATATAATGCACAATGAAATATTTCATTTGATTTGATTTAGATATATTATTGGTAGTACCATCAATTGGTATACACATAACTATAGAGAAAAGATTCTCTAGTTTTAACTTGTACACGTTCTTACCTTGGGATACTATTGAAGATTTATTTATCAACGAAGTCATTATAAGAGTAAGTTATAATAATAATAAATAATTGATAAAATCCATCTATCTGTATTCAAAAATATTATATACTATGTGTGTACTTATTATTTACAGCAAAGAGTTTTATATTATTTAACATTCATAGTAAAGGAATCAGTCAATGGTAGAAATCAGATAAAATTGGTTCCTTTATTTGAAAATCTATTGCCAGAGAGAAAATGCTTGGAGTACATATACGTAAAATTAAAGAATTTGATTTGCTCGGGCAACACGAGGAATCTAAACTAACTGTACCTGGATCTTATTGGCTATGTCATAGAAATAAAATTTATAAATTTACTTTTATGTATCATCGTACGATGAGGTAAATAAATTGCATGTAAATGAATAACATTGATTCTATTTTATTAACATTTATATTTTGTTTGTTTGTTTGTTTGTTTTTTTTGTTTTTTTTTTCTCTCTCTTCATTTTAGAGATATTAAGGAATTCATTTATGGAAAAGAATTAATGAAAGTTATTAGAAGAATTATTAAAAATCAACCATCACTAGGACAACAATTTGTTACCAAAAATATTCTCGTTATTTACAGTATCCTTTTGATAAATACTTCGTAAATTAATAAGAAATAGCAAATATTATTTACGTGTTTCTTTAACAATTATTTTATAGATCATACATCGTGGACTCGTCAAGATAAAATGTTTGCAACTCTTAAATTTAAGAATCGTGATGGAGCTTCTATAGTTTCACCAGCAATTGTATTAACCATTAAAATTATCGATGATGAAATTTACGAATCGAGAAAACTCAATGGAAATAAAATACAATATATAGATAGCGAAAGTAAAACGGAAAGAGTAAATTCAAATGGTTATAAATTAAAAGTCAATGCTACGGATACGAATAAACATATAAATCATTCAAATATAAATGATGATAGAAATGATTTAGCTTTGTCGAACATAAATAATGAAAATACTACGAATGATAAGACAAAAATACAAAATACAATCAAATGTAACGATAGTAAATTATCTAATAATATTTCGACTAGCGAATGTGTTGTTAACATTGAAAACAAAGATGTAAATAAAACAAATAATTGTTCGATAACAAATAAGACAAAAACAAGAGATAAGAATGAATTTAATGATAATACTATAACACAAGAAAGTAGTATAATTAATTCAAACGATGAAGGTATTATAGATTCCGCTAACTTACCATATCAATATTTAATAGAAAAAGAAATAGAAAGTGCAAAGAAGAAAATAATTAAATGTCCATCATCGAATACAATAGATGAAGAATCAACCATAGATTCTACAATCAAGTCTGAAGATAAATATATTCAAAATATAACTAAAGTAAAAACGGAAAATTTCAAGAATTGTACAAAAAATCAAGTTCCTGAAATGGCACAAAATAATGAAGAACAATGTACAAAAGAAGAACTTTCAATTGATTCAACAAAATTATTCAACACTTACAAGAATCCAATTAAAGATCAGAATAATAAATTTAAAAAATGTAAAGAATCTGAAAAAAAGATGGACGATAATGTAATCAAATCTTCTAACATTACTGATTTAATAATGAAAGGTCGTATGCTTATGATTCAACAGGATCAAGATAGTGTATCGGTTGTAGAACGAAAAACAAAATTGGATACAGATGAAGTATTAGAAAATTCGGAAAAATTTGAAACTAAAGATGGAGAAAAGTGTTTGGTAAATTCTAGTTTATTGAAATTAAAAAATTTAGTAAAGATGATTAAAATGCCTAAAGAAGAGACTATTAAAAATAATGATGATAGTAAAAGTACAGTACACAATACAAATAATAATAATAATAATAATAATAATAATAATAATAATAATGTATCATTGGATAATAATGAATGTATGGACACAAAGATTAATACAATGCATCCGTCCATGTTTATGTTTAATTTACAAGATATTCCTACATCGAGCAAATCATGTTTACAGTACGATGATGAACACAAATCAAATATGAACAATATTAAAATGAAAGAAAATAATGTTTCTTTTAAAATACAATCCTCTAATAACGAATCTGACAATGATTTTAATGAAACATTGAATTCTACTGGAAGACTCGATGACACAAATAATCATTCTATAGTTGAAGAATCAACTCTCGATGATTCGGAGAATGCTATTAATAATAGAATTGTTAATAATAGTAATTCTGAAAGTATAGAAAGTACTAGTTCAAACAGTACTTCTAATTTTCCAAAAATCATTTCTGATCAAATTATAACGATAGATCAAATACCAGTTGGCTTACAAAAAATAGTCCAAGACAAATTATCAAAACGTAATAATAATGAATTTATAAATATTAGCAAGTCTAATTTGAAGGATACATCGTTAGATAATACAATTGCAATGTCATCCAATGAATCGACAAATTTAGAAGTTAATACATTTAAGACTGATTCGTTGAATGTAGAAAAAAATTCAACGTCACTGACTGATAATATTCAAACAACGGATAATGTTGATACGTCAACCGTATGTTCGAATATTGCAGTAGTGAAAGAAACAGAAATGCCAAACAGAAAAAGAAAAAGATCTGACAATCATGACACTGACAACGTTAAGAAACAATGTTTTGAAACAATGACAAATGATGAAACGTTACCATTAATTAAATATAAAACATATTCATCGATTAAGAAAAATGGTAAACGTAAAAGGGAAAGAAAAGATTGTAAATATGATACACAGATGTCTACTGGTTTAGTTAAGATAAAAAATTCTCGCGTGCCTAATAACAAATTGCAAGATATTACGGAAGAATTTTATCAGGATTTAATGCAACATAAAAACAACGAGCATAGTAATAATTGTAATGAGCAATTTTTGTCTTCTACAAAAAGATCTTATTTAGAAACTAATAATGTAGTTACAAATAACGATACACGGATTAAAATGTTGAAGTTTATAGAAGATATTACAAGAGGTGTTAAAGTTGTTGTCAAACGTATCAACGTAAAAAATATTTCCAGTATTATAGGCAATAGTTCCTCGTTAGCCTATTTAAATAAAATGAAATGTAGTCAACATTAAAAAAAACAATAGTTTTTAATAGCAGTATGTTCAATAAATGTATTAGAGAGTGTTTTTTCTTATATAACATTAAGATTAAATGATACTCAATACAAATGTATATCCTGTGTTACAATAGTTTTTTTTTTGTTTTTCTATTTAAACACTGTTATAATGAAATATGAATTATATGATAAAAATTATGAATTTAATAGTTTATTTATATCACAATATTTTTCCCTTTTCAATTGTTCAACGACCATCTTTAAATTGTCAAATTTACATTTCATCCTTTTTATCACTACACCTTTACATTTAAATGGATAATTTTGTTTATTTGATTCCTTATATAAAATGACGTTTTGTTCTTCCGTCAAAGGTTCTATGTCGTTAAATTTTTTAATATTTTGGACAACTTTTGCAGTCTGTAATACGTATCATATTAAATTAATTATTTAATAATATTTTATGAACATATAATATTTGTATTAAGAAAAAAACAACAAGTAATTATAACCTGTATTTCATTGGTTAACCTAATACACTTTTCTAATTCTTCAGCACATAACATTGGATAACGTTCTCGTGCATCGCAAACTTCAAAAATTGCATCTTCACATTGTTCTTCTAAATCATCTGAAATTATTTCGTATAAAAATACTTCACAATATATTTAAAAAAAAAAAAAGAGATTATGTACTGGATGCATTTATTCATTATTATAATTATTAATTCATTAGAATCTTATTAGTACACTAATTTATTCAAATAACATACGAATTATTAAGTCACTCTGTTCCATCGCCATTTTTCTATTAATATCTATCGATGCAATGTTGCCAACTTTCAAAACAACAAAAATAATATTACTACGTGATACATTTCACAATTATAATTAAAATACAATTAATATGCATAATATCGAAACTGTGACATAACGTTAATAAATATTTATATTAATTAATTGAGTAACAATAATTGCCGAATAATGATTTTTTAATGAACATAATTGCTTAATCGTATCGCGGCTTATTTAAACGTTCCAACGTGTATCATAAATGACATAACAGTTTTACATTTATTTGTTTAAACATATTGACACAAGTCTCTTATTATAACAGGTGTGCGTATCGTCAAACGGAAATCAATTTAATTGATACTTCCGTCAATGTGGCAGTTTTAAAAATATCTTTTTTATGAATAGTAGATTTTTATGAGTTGGTAAATGTCCTATCGCCATTAGTCTACAGTATGCCGTTATTCTGAACGATTAAAGAAACAGTTACATAAATTACTCCTTTTTTTTTTACAATTCTTATTTCATTGGCTTAAGAAGCAGAATTTAACAACGCATGCTGGATCATAAAACGTTTTTTTAAAAGAGAAAAAAAAAAGTATATCGTGGCGATAATTGTAACATTATATAATTTGTTCTTTACTCTAGTTGTTGTCTTTTTCATTTTTTTTTTTTTCATTTTTTTTTTGCTTTTAATTTTCATTTCTCTATAATGGGGTACCTTAAAAAAACGGGTACTGTTTTCATTTATGTCGCACTTTTCTTAGCTATTATTACGTTTTTACCTGGACTTCCACCAGATGTTACATTTTCTGAATACAGGTAATAATATCATTCATTTTTAATATCTATATTTTGTTCTTTTTTTTTATATATATATATATATATCTATTTGTGTATAATGTGTATTATATAGCATAAAACCATCAACTAAACTAAGTGGAAAATTAGATATTAATAATCGTTTAAATGGAGCTGAATTATTGCACGTTGATAAGTTAAAAGGTCCCGAAGCCTTTGATTCATATAATGGAGAATTATATACCGGTTTGGAAGGTGGCTACGTTGTTAAAATTAATGAAAATAAAATGGAAACTTTTGTAGAATTTGGTGGAAAGTGTGGTAAGTTGATCAAGTTTTTCATTACCTTTACCAATAAATTGTATTTAAATATTATTTTATTTGTATGCATAATTATATATATATATATATATATATATATATATATATATCAAAATCTAATAAAATGTATTAAAACGTTGTAGATGAAATCTTAAAGTATCACGAGTGTGGTAAAATATTGGGCTTAAAGTTTGATAAAAAAGGCAATTTATACGTTGTCGATACTTATAAGGGTATTTTTAAGGTTGATCCTAAAGGATATTACCAAAAAATTGTAGACATATCTAAACCAATAAATAATAAAGTTCCACAAATACCTAATAATTTAGATATAGCAGAAAATGGTGATATATATTGGACAGATTCTAGCACAGATTTTCCATTGTACGATGCAATCTACACAACATTAGTTAATCCATCCGGAAGGTATAATTTTTGTTGTTTTTAATAATATTTTATAATATATATATATCAATATATGTATATGTGTGTATATTCTTACATTGTTATTATTAATTACAGACTTATTCGATATAATGCAGCTACGAAGACCAATGAAGTACTAATGGAAAATCTGGCATTTGCGAATGGAGTTAAATTGAGTAAAGATGAAAGTTTTTTATTGGTAGTAGAATCGTTATCTTCGCGTATAAATAAATATTATTTGAAAGGACCTAAAGCAGGACAACATGAAATATTACACGAAGGTCTTCCTGGTATATTAGATAATATACATGAAGATAATAATGGTGGCTTCTTCGTTAGTATATATAGTTATATAGATGAGGAAAATCCTAATTTAGTACACACATTAATGCCGCACCCGAATATAAGAAAAATGATAGTAAGACTCTTAACGATTATAGAATATCCATTTAAATGGATACAAAATGCTTATCCAAACTTTTTCGCTGAAAGAATAGTTCATGCGATTGGTTCTTTAGAAACATTTAGTTTCTTGTTTCCACCTAAGTCGATAGTATTGAATTTTGATGCGACAGGAAAACTTGTTGATGCTGCATATGCGACAGATGAAAGGATCAAAATGATAAGTTCTGCTTTTGTTCACAATGGTTATCTATGGCTTGGATCACCACATAGCAAATATGTAGCTCGAGTACCATTGAAACAAGCCTTTCCACATTTAGCACAAATGGAAAAAGTAGTACATCGTTCAAGTCAACAAGATACAAAGGAAATTCCAAAAGCACATAGTACTACAATTAAACCACCAAAACCTGTAGAAACTCCTACTGTTAAAACAACAGCTAAACCTGTAACCAAAACTGCTGAAAATATGGAAACTGGAAAAAGTCCTCAAGCCTCTACTCAACAGCCAAAAGCAACTACTTTGAAACCAAGTACAACGGCACCACCACCAACTACTACCACTGTCAAACCAAGTACGACAGCTGTACCAACTACCACTGTCAAACCAACTACACAGACAGCAGCACCAACAACTACTGTCAAACCAACTACTACAACGACAGCTGCACCAACAACTACTGTCAAACCAAGTACGACAGCAGTACCAACTACAACTGTCAAACCAAGTACACAAACAGCAGCACCAACTACTACTACTACTACTACTACTGTCAAACCAAGTACTGCATCTCAAACAACTTCAACTCCAAAAGTAACCACAACTAAACCTGTTGTAAAACAAAATGTTGAAACTGGTGCAAAACCTAACAATCAAGAAATTAAATCTGAAACAGTGAAGCCAGTTGCAACGAAACCAAATATTCAAGTAGACTCCACGAAACAAAATGTACAAGTTAACAAAGTAGTTTCTGACGTTAAGTCTGAAGCTGTAAAAGAAACAAAACCAGAAGTAAACAAACAAACAGTTCAAAATACTCAAACTGAAGCTCAAAAGCAACAAGTTCAAACACCAGAACTTCGTAATAATGAATCTCCTAAAACAATAAATAATAATAATAATAATAATATTAATAATAACATTCCAAAATAGATAAGATATTGATACTGATATTAATATTAAGATTAAGATTATATTATTTAAACAGTTAAATTGGGCAGGGTTGTTATTTGATATTTTTGTTTCAAGTTGATTTAATTATAAACAAATTTTGATATTTTAAAATAATACGTACTCAATTCCCTTAAATAACATTCCATAAAATATTGTTAATATATTAATTTTTTTAATTATATATATATATATATATGATTCCATATTAGTATAATAAACGAAAAAGACAAAAGATGATCTTAGACTGTGATTTATATTTAAACAAAAGAAAAATAAGCACGCGAAAGTGTTTTGTTTTATAAACTTTTCTCTGTAATACATAAAAATCATATATACATATGTATAAGCATAACTGCTGCGCAACAAGCAAGATTACATTAGTCAAAAGCAAAACTATTTATAGAAAAAAAAAAAAAAAAATGATATGCAATATTGAACGAAATAGTTAGAAAGAGAAAAAAAAAAACTAAACATTGTACAGGAATATTTACCATAGCATTAACAATTTTAATGTGAATTACATCCGTCGTACCTGTTATGTGTTCCAAAAAAAGATAAATGTTGATTTATATTTTCTAATTTTCTACTGACTGTATAATGTTGGTTGGTTAGTCAAGAAAATATAGTTTTAAATATTTATAAAGATTTCTTCCGAAATATTAACATATAAATTTCATTGTTTATTTACCGTATGAATTGTTTTATATTTATCAAATGTGAATGTATGTTTTATATTTTTAAATGATATTAATATTTTACATTTTATTTTTATTGTAAAAAAAAAATATGCAAGGAAATTGAATGCGTATTTAACAAACAAACAAAAATGTAAAATGATAACAAGTAGAAGTAATTTAATATATATATGTATAAATATATATGTGATATTTTAATAACCATTTTGGAATCGCAAGCAGTGCGATTGTGTTTATTGTGCCAAATTATTAAAACGCGATGCGTAATTGATGATACGTAGTTTCAAGAGAAACTACGAAACTAAAGACCCCGTTGAGATTTAAAATAGTTAATATATATATATATACATGTCTCATTTTTAAATCATATATTAAATATTACTATTATGCATAAAACGAATACGATATTTTTCTATTCATTTTAATAATGTTAAAATAATAATTATATCGTTTAATGATATATTTTGCAAGAAAATTATTATTCCATGTTTATATTAGATGATAATGTTTTTCCAAATAATTATTATAAAACATTTATCTTTTCATGATAATAGATACTAATTTTTTTTTATTGTATAATAATATTTATAAACGATTGATTTACATGAAGTTACTTCGGAACTACTATTACATTGTAATTAAGCGTATAAAAATTTAAAGTACTGTATGGATTAATCTCTGATTCAAATGTTAAGTTGTTTTATTATAAACATTGGCAATAAAGATTTTAATTTATCACTGAAATATATTTTAATCTTCCATATGAGCGTTGGATTTTTAACAAAATGCCAATGTCCATTTCTATTGAATTTTGCATATTTGTCTGCTCGAATTAAAGACTTATGATATAATAATGTACATTCATTCTTTAATAAATTATCTTCTTGATTAGATATCGTAGCAAAACCTAACTTAACTAATTCTTCTGCAATATTTGTACGTTCCTAAAAATAATTCATATTAATTATATAATTAATAAGTATAAAGAAATGTAATTGTAGGGTAAATATTTTTTATAATACCTGATCTTTTTCCGAAAATGTGACGATACAATTTAAATAATTCTTATTTTTATCTAATGGAAGAAATTGAACATTTTTTCCACTAATCAAACATTGTAACCAACTAATGCCTGTAATATAATAGATTTTATAGTATACAACGTAGACATATTATAAACATATATTATATATTACAACGCTTACCATGATTAGTCGTATTAATTCCTGCTAATTTAATAGGTAAGTATTTCTCTCTGCCAAGTCGTGGAAATGGTAGCAAAGGTATGTGATCTACCAGAAGTAAAGTACCGTGTGCTGGATCTATACGTTTTACACGCCCTTCTAATTCTGTTGTTTTCAGAAAACGGTTTGGTACATCGGATGGTTTTTTAAATTTAGCAAACTAGTTGATAATAAAAGAATAAATATTAAATATATGTATATAATTAGCAATGATATTAAACCACATAAAAACACTATTTTATACGTACTGGCTTTATTTTGTATAACGCAAATAATAAACCAACTCCGGTGATGCCATAACTAACAAACTACAGAAAAATGTCAATGTCAATAAAACATATATTATAATAATTTTCATCATATAATATTAAATTACTTTACCTCAACGGCTCGATTATTTTGTTCCATAAAATTAGTTAACTTTTGGAAGACAGTAGGCACTTTTTCTTTATCCATAATTTCGAATTATTTATTATTTCTATTTTTAAATATTAAGTAACCTTTCCCAAATTTTAAGGTTAAGTACACTGTGTATATATATCGGTTTCATAACATTTATCATTTCTCATTTGTGATATAAATATCAAAGTAATATAAAATAACAATTGATTACAAATTTATTAATCTCAAAGTCTAATTATTACACTATTAAAAAAATAATATTCTGATAAGAAATATTAATAATTTATAACACAGCTGTCATACTATCATAAATAAAGATCTAAATTTAATTTATGATAACCTCATTTTAATCGATCAACCTAACCAATCATTACTTAATAGTTTAAAATTATCTGATATTGATTAATTATATAATATATTATTTAATTATTAAATATTAAAGAGATATTCGAAGATTTATCAAATATTAATTGATTTGTTCGCGCACATGGTTAAAGGGCGATACGCGCATGCGCCGAATACATTCACTGATTTCACTTTCTGATCAACCTAGCGTACATAAGATACATAACGTATACACTTTGTTCGTTGTGTATGTGTATGATAATATGTGCACACGTAGCGCGAAAAGTGACCAAAGAGAAGAAGAAGACACACGTCGTCCTTCTAAAATAAGTCGTGTAATATCGTCAACTGTTTCACAACAAATGTTTTGATTCATTTCTTTTTCGTTATTCTTTTGTAATAAATTTTTCTTTTTCTATATTAAAAATAATTTGGTAAAATTTAAATCGAAATAATAAACGTTAGAAAAATATGTTTCGTGAAGGACAATACATAGAAGTGATAAAGGTACATTTTATTTATTAACAGCTGTTGACAGCTGTCAAAACTATCACCTTTTCAAATATTCATCGGTATAATGGCAAAAGCTGTGTTTTCAGGCTTGGGACAATTGCGTGGCGACGGTTGTTGTAACCGTGCAAGAGAGAATTATTGAAATTAAGAAGAAAAAGGTATCAACCAACAAGTGGCTTGATTTGGAAGATTGGGCAGCCGTTTATAAAATGTTGGACAGAGTTGTTCTACGTAATTGCAAGAATAATATCAACGAACAATGTTATAAAAAATTAGAAGGAAATCAATGGAAAAAATTTACCAGACAATTGGATATTACGTAAAGAAAATATAACATATATTACAATTTTCATTCGAAAGAAATTACTTTGACACGAGTTAATGTCCTTTGTAAATAATGTAATTTTGTATGAATGTTAAAAATTACAATTTTAGGTGTACAATTGAATCGTTCGAATATACCAAAGATACTTTGTTGTTAACTATTAGAGTCAATGTGTCGCCTGCAAAAAGAAAGTTAACCAAGGTTGTTGATAATCATGAACAAAGTTCTGGCGATGAGAAACAATATTCTAAAGAATTATCAAATAGTTTGGTTAAGAAAGATAAAGATAATTTGGATAAGCCTGACAGTACTAGCAATTCGCAATTGGAACAATTCAATTATTCTTCTAATTGTCAAGAATTAGAAGAGTACGTGCCAGATGCTCTTATTACACAAAATTCTTCCCCTTTAAAGTATATACCAAGTAGAAAAAGTACGTTGCAAAGGATGCAAATACCATGCGAAGAGTATACACCTGTGCAAACGTGCAATGTTACCGATAACAATGTTCCATATGTACCTAATTCCATTATTAAAAATTTCACTAACTCTTATGAAGCTTATGAACCACATAGCATTACTTCTATGGAATTAGTAGAAGAATACGTACCAAATTCTAAAGGTATTAAATCTTCTGTTGAAGAATACGAACCGGATTTTCGTGGAAAATTAATGAAATTTGACGAAAGTTATGTACCATCTTCTGTACAAACTTCCAATGATGTTGATGTTAAAAGAATACATAAGATAGATAAATTAAAGTCACGAAGAAAAGGTACACTTACCAGTAAAAAGAAGTCGCAACTTTTTTAGTATCAATTCAATTCATTTTGTATAAAAAAAAAATCATCGTGAAAATTACTTTTGATAAACGCAATATTTTTTAAGTATATATATATATATATATATATAAATAGTTTTATTATAATATTAATAAAAAAATAATTATAACTGTATAACTTTAATAAAATGTATATTCTTCGAATTGGCATTATCAATGATTTGACTTTTACGACCCTTTTTTTTTTTGACATCTACAATTAGGATCTTAAATGTTTATCAGTAAAAAAATAAACTAATTTGATGCATACATTTTATTCATTGTTTTCTTTTGTCTCAGATGTTGGTTCATCGATTAAATTTTGTATTGGTTCACTTTGATTTTCTGTCGTTTCATTTGTCATCTCTTGTTTATCTGTTACCTGCTCTTGCTCATCTTCTTCTTCTTCTTCTTTTTCTGTTTCTTTTTCTTCTTCTTGCTTTTCTTCTTCTACTTTTTCTTCTTCTTCATCTTCTTCTTTATTTTCCTTATTTTCTTCATCTTCTTCATCATCATCAGTATCATCATCGGCACCAGGATGAGCAGGAACTTTGTGTACTGGACTACCACTTATTTGCATACTTCCTGGTTTACGCCACATTTTTTGTGATTCCTTATGTTGACAACAAAAAAAAAAAAAGAGAAGAAGAAAAACAAAATAAGTAATAAAATTTGCTAATAAAAACAAAGTTGTTAACTTAATTCTAGATTATTTACAAACAATCCCTTACCTTCATACCGCTAACTTTTTCCATATAATAATCGTAAACAAATTTAGCCATATGTGGCATGTCTTCTATTTCCATCGGTGATGTCGTCAAAACAGCGTCATTTAATCTATCGGTAGGATAAGTTTCTTGCGGTAAAAGTTGAAGTTTTAATGGTCGTTGCATCAATTGATTGAATGCGGGAGTAAGTTCAAAACAATTTTTGAAGAGTGATACTCTAGCAAAGACGTATAAACCTAATCTAGCTCTTGACATTGCTACAACAAGACGTCTGGCATCCCTCAGATGACCTACTGCTCGTGTTTTTACTAATGATAATATAATATAATCATTTTGTTGACCCTGATATTTATCTACAGTTGTTACTTTGTTTGGCCGACCTATTAATGGATTGTTCGCACATCTTATATTAATAACATCTCTAATGAGATGTTTTTGACCATTGTAAGTAGTTAATATACTAATTTTATCAGCTGGATAACCCAAAAGACGCATGTACATGAATACAGCTACACAATATTCAGCTTCGGCAAGATTTTGATAGAAATAAGCACTAGGTTCGCTTTCACCAACCCCATTGAAATCTTCAACGTTAACCAATTGAAAATCATAAAGGAAACCTGCATTGGCAACTAAATATTCAGGACTACGTTCTACGTGTAACAAATTACCAAGCTTTTTGTATCGCCAATTGTATAAATTACAAATACTAGGTCTAGCACGTCCCTGACCATCTAAATCAACCGTCGGTACACCTAACCTTACGAATCTTGCGAAAAGGGACTGTTCCATATTTGAATATTTTTGGAATGCCATATTTTTAATAACTGGTGGTAATTGATGATGATCACCAATCATAATCCAACGTTTCAAACGATTATAACCGTCCTGAGGATTTTGAAGTAATAATGGAATGAAAGTTTCAATTTCTAATATTTGTGCAGACTCTTCCATTAATATGTTGTCATATTTGAAACCCATATCAACAAGTTCACGCCTTTTTAATGCTGCATGTGTACAAGTCATCGCTATAACTTTAGCTTCCTTTACTAATAAATATTTAGATCTGTCCAATCCAGATCTAAGTAATTCAAATGCTCTAAATTCTTCTAATTGTGCAAATATTCTTTCGATATACCTACAAAACAAAATATTATTTCAATTATATTTAAAAATTAATTCTATATATATATATACAATATATACAAATAAATATATGTACCGGAAACAACTGCATGCAATCTCCATATCTTCCTTAAATGATTTATGTTTAAACAATGGTTGTGGTGCATTATCAAAGAATTTATGAAATGGAAATTCTTCGTCAATAATAAACGTAGACGAAGATGAAGATAATGTTTCAGAAGCTTGTCTTTGTTTAATCCTATTTTCAAAACGTTCCCAACGTGTTTGTATTTGATACATGAAGAAGTGTCCAGCTGTTTCACATGTGTAAGCTACATCACCTTTCACGTTCAATGATTCCTTTTAAATAAAACAAATTAAATCAAGTCAAATCAAAAGATAAAATAAATATAGAAGTTGTTATATATATATATTTACCTGTAATCTTTGAACTTCCATAAGTAAATCTAAACGTTTGGCCAAGACATAATTAACTCTACCATATCTACTGAAATCTTTTTCAGTTTCCAATGCCTCTTCACCATGACCGAGACGTAACAAATGACGTTCGTCGATATCAAGTGCCATAATTTTTTCAAACAATTGATTCAACGCTTGATTCGAATGTGTAACAATGAGTGTTCTTTGATAAGGAAAATTATGATAAAGATTAGATATTATTTGAACAGCTACATCAGTTTTACCAGTACCAGGTGGACCTACAACTAGAGTTAAACCTGGTTGCATTCCAGCTCTGATGGCTTCCACTTGTGTCGGTGTGAATGGTATTTGATTTCTGTAATAAATATTAAACACATACGATTAGATTAAAAACATGTAAAGAATACATTTGAAAATGATTATTTTTCAATACAAACTTTTTTGGTTCATTAGCTTTGTATGGGCCTCTACTAGGAGGTACATGAGGTTCAACAATAATCACTTTTTCGATAGGTTCATTATTCTGTTTAGCAATAACATCCTCGAACGTCAATCTAAATGGCCTGACAAGTTTTTCTTCATCGTCACATTTAACTTTAATTTCATAATGCGGAAAGCTTGATTGTAAATGATTTATATCAAGGAATGTATCGTTAAAATCCATCGTAGATATTTCATTAGGCATTCTGTAAAGAACCATGATCAGAATTTGAATCACATAATATTGTGATAGTAAAAGAATTTCAATGAAATTGTAATCAATAATAGTATTAATACCTGGAATAACGAGCAGCACCAGGATCACCATAACCGAGTATGATATCATGAAGCCAATCAGGAACAACACATTCTGTATTCATGAGTTCTCTTATAGTTTCTAATACAGCTTTGAAATTATTTTCTTTAGGTTTTCGTCTCATTATTACGTTGAAACCTTCGTAAACGTCTTCACCACCGTGACTAGCGTTATCCATGTCAATTCTATATTGATTTGAATCTAACCATACTCTGTAAGTCCTTGTATCTCCTGGTAAAATTGGTCTTGGTTCAGGACCATCTTCTATAACTCTTCCATTGGAATCTAACATACCTTCAACTTCACAACCACGTACTGTGGTTAAACCAACTTGTGGTATAAATGGTAACTTATGACTGTACTTTGTACCTGTGTTGTTAATATAAACAAATACAAATCTTATTTAAAATATATCCTTGAATATTAATATTGTAATGTTTCTAAATTTGTAATCTCACCAATTGGATTTTGTGGTTTAACTGTAATGAGAAAACAAACGTCGTGTTTTCGAAGATTTTCCCATTCTGATTTGATCTCCTTTCGTACGCTTAAATTAATTGTTACATCGGCACGTACTCTAGATGGTCGTTTTTCACCAATATTTGGTTTGGCTACTTCAACAACTGCAAATTGTGTTATGGGTTGTGCCATTCTTGCCCAACCACCGAAATATACACCACCGTCTTCTGCTTGCCTGTAAAAAACATATGATTATTAGTTTAATAATGTATTATTTTAATTAATACAAATGGTATATTTCAATTGAGATTAATTGTTCTATTATCAAATGAAAAAATGTACCAAGGACTTAATCTGCTAACAGCATCCTCGATATCTTGGCGTATTTCATCTGTAAATATAAAATTTCATTAAAAAATGTTAAAATGTATTATTTGGTTTTTAAATTAAACATTGAAAATGTTATAATAAATATTTACACGTGGATTCCAAACGAAAGAGATTAAAATTTCGTAAAAGGTAATCGTGTAAAGTTAAAAATTGTAAATTTAATTTTGGCAAGGCCAAACAACCCTCGCCAGAAAAATATTCGGTTGGTACGATACTTTCGTTCCAAATAATATCCTCGGTTGGATAAAGTGGCATTTCATTTAATTCTTCGAGCTGAGAAGCTCTGCGTTCGTGTCGTGATATCTGAAATGAAAAGAAAAAAGAACGAAAGACATTAAATTAAATTAAAAAAAAACAAGAAAAAGGTTTACTGATAAAAATATATATGATAAATATTGTTTATAAAATTACCAATAATTCTCGAAGAAAATCAATATCCAAACGATACCAATTCTCACTTTTTTCTCTTTCCTTCGGTGGTACCAAATTCAAATAACTTGCAATGGATTTCAATTCTTCTGGACTGAAAAAAAAAAAAAAAAGAAATATATATTTGTCATTGTAAACGAATTATTAAGCAAATTATTTATTTAAAAATATTCATTTTTTTTTTTTTTTTTAAATAAATGTCATTAATATAAAATATAATTCATATTTAATTAATATATATTATTTATTTATATTTATATTTATATTTTATATATTGATATATATTTATATATATGAATTATAGTTTATATTAATTACATTTATATAAAAAAAATAATTATATTATAGAAATTAAATTATATTATAATTAATTTTAATGATATTTAAAGTAAAACATGACTATGTGTAATATATAATATAAATTAATTATAATATAATTTAATTTATATAATATAATTACTAATATAAATTATAATTATAATTAATACAATATATAATATAATTATTAATATAAATTATAATACAATATAATTGTAAATATAAATTAACCTTTGCTCTTACCACCCTCTTCCTGGCGTAACACGCTTACCACACCCGGGTCTTTTGAACCCGGGCTAGAAAAATCGTTATAAAAAAGAAACTATTGCCATAGATCTACTTCAACATTTTTTTGAAACTTCTTTAATACTTATTTAAAAAGACTATATAGGTTTTATAGCTTTCAATTAAATTTAAATATGTTTAAAAAATTACCAAAGTTGAGTACAATTGAGAAAAATGACTCAAGTTACAAAAAAGGTCTGGATCCTTTGGACCAAGTGTGGTAAAAGCAAATGTTAATTATAATATAATTTCATTTATAATTAAACTATGCATCCATTAGATAAACCATTAAGAAAACCAAACAAACATACTTTGTAAAACAATGATAAAAGAAAAATATATATATATATATATATGTACCTGAGTGATCCAAAATGTTTATTAAGAGCATCTCTGGTATCAACACTTGCAACATTAGCCAATGCAAAGTTTCTTAAATCACGAAATTTAGCGAACACCGCTTTCTGCATCAAAATATAACAAAAAATATATAATTAAATATATAATATATTAAATATATAATTAATAAACATTTAAATAACATTATATATCTTAATATTATTTATACCTGAAGAGACGTAATTTTGGCATAATGTAATTGGGTCATATCATGATCGGTCAAGGGATCCCCAGTTTCTTCGCTTATTTCAAATCTTGCGTAAAATTTCAACATTTCTAAGAGCTAAAAACATACAAAATAATTTGTGATTGGTTAATAAATAGATAAAAAAAGAATTTAGTGAAAGGCTTATTTAAATATTTCATAACATATATATATATGTATATAATATGTGACTCATGTAAAAATACGCGCACGTGTAATGTTTGCATACGTGCACGTATATAAAAAGAAAAGAAAAGAAAAGAAAAAAAGAAAATAAAAAATAAAAAAAAAAGAATAGAAAAAAAAAATAGTGGGATGATATGTAGATATCATATCTAATTATTCATACAAAATAATCAGCTTAGAACTAGTTATTAATATAGATGTGAGTACACACTCCATAGGAAAACATATTTTATCTGTTTTTCATTTCAAGGACTCGATATGATCTTCACATACATCTCTCTTTTATTCCAATTAGTACCAGTTACTTTAGTTCACTGTTATATATATATATATATAACATTTATTATCTATAATAGTTATGTATCTATATTAGTTATTATCTATAATAACTAAAATAATGTATAAATTATATTAGTGTAATAATATAAATTATTTTTCTTACTGTAACTGTAAATAATATTAATTATTATCTATAATAACTAAAATAATGTAAATTATATTAGTGTAATAATATAAATTAATTTTTTCACTGTAACTGTAAATAATATTAATTAATATCTATAATAACTAAAATAATGTATAAATTATATTAGTGTAGTAATATATAAATTATTTTTTTCACTGTAACTGTAAATAATATTAATTATTATCTATAATAACTAAAATAATGTAAATTATATTAGTGTAATAATATATAAATTATTTTTTTCACTGTAACTGTAAATAATATTAATTATTATCTATAATAAATAAAATAATGTATAAATTATATTAGTGTAATAATATAAATTATTTTTTTTTACTGTAACTGTAAATAATATTAAATTATTATCTATAATAACTAAAATAATGTAAATTATATTAGAGTGTAATAATATATAAATTATTTTTTTTTACTGTAACTGTAAATAATATTAGCTATTATCTGTAATAGTTCTATATATATATATATATAAGTTTTTTTTTTTCAATTTATTTTTTTTCTCACTACCTAGTGTTTTTGTTTTCACGTGTTACTCTTTTTCATATAATAAATTTTTAAACTTAATTGTGTTTTTTTTTTTTTTTTTAGAAGATTATATATACAATATATATTTGTATTTAAATATTACTGAAAATAATATGAAAGATAAAAATAATATAACATATGCTAATCATTCTTTTCTATTACTTTTTTTTTCTTAGTTCTAGTATATTTTCTTTTTTTTTTTCCTCTCAAACATTTCGAAAGATTCGATATTATTTTTATTTTCGTATCTATTCGCGTCACAGTTTTTTAATTACGAGTGAACGTTTTCCATTAATCTTGAAATAAATAATCTCAATAATCTATCTATCTATCTATATATAGTGATTATTATAATTAATCATTTTGATTTATGTATGAGATTGTAATTTAGTATTTTTTGCAAAAAAACAAAAAAAAACATTATATGATGTATACTAACGATCGTTATTACGAAATAACATTTTTTTTTTTTACTTTAACAAAAATAATATTCTTTATTTTAATATATTGTAGATTAAATATTATCTGTATATATTATCTTTTTACAGTGATATTCTATCTACCAATGATCATTTGATATATATATATATATCAAATTCAATCACATATCTATATCAATATTAATCATATATAATAATAATTGATAATTATTACTATATTTACAGTAATACTATATAATAGTAATAGTAATAGTACTGTTATTACTATTATTTATAATACTTACTAAGTAATTACTATTACAGTAATAAAGTAATAAATAATATAATAATAATAATATTATAATAGAATATATAGAAATATATTAGGTGAACCGGAAAGTAATGTCGTTTTTACAAATATTAAATTTTGTATATTTTTATCAAAAAACCGTTTGATTTGTATCAATTTTGATATTAAAAATTCGCATAATAGATGAAGAAAGGTTGTTAATAACGAGGTTGATTATGTTATTGACTAAAAATATACATTTATTAGAAATTTATTTTTTTTGAATTTAAGGTTAGAAAGAAACATTACTTTCCGGTCCATCTAATATATATATATATATATAATATATATGATTAATATAATAATAAAAATAAATACTACTTATAGTAATAATAATACTGTATTAGTAATAATATTATACTAATTATGACTGTAATTATTACATAACATAAACATAAATAATAATATATAATATCAATATATATATATATATATAAATATATAANTATATATATTATATTTAATATATAATATTAATATTAATGTATATGTATATGTATATATGTATATTAATGTATAATTAAATGTATAATTATAATAAATATATATATATTATATTTAATATATAATATTAATATTAATGTATATGTATATGTATATATGTATATTAATGTATAATTAAATGTATAATTATAATAATTAATTGTATAATGTTTAATTAAAATAATATATATATTAATGTTTCTTTGGTATAATAATTTTATAATAAAGTATATTACAAAGTGAATTTACAGTTGACATTGGGTATTGGTATTATTGAAACACGTGTTATTAATTTAACGTTTCACACGTGTATAATATATAATGATCAAATAAAAATAAGCTCGATTTATTATCGTCGCATATTTAAGTTCTAAAATTAGACTATCAATATTAATGTCGTATATTCAATAATCTTTATTTCCTATCATTTATTTTATTTTATTTTATTATTTTATTATATTTATTATTTATTATAAATTTATTACATTGATATAGCAATATCAAGTGGGATTCATATTTTCATTTTTTTTTCTTTTTAAATTTATTAATATATTAAATATATTTTGTCAACAAAATATTCTCTTTCATGTGTTTATTCTATTTATAATTAAAAGATTTTACAGTTTTTTTAAAATAATTCAAATTAATACTACGTAATTCAATGTTCAATTTTAAAAACAACAATAATAACAATTATTATGTAAAAAATATTTCATATGAAATTTACATTTGTTATGAAATATTTGTATATCTCTCATTTGTTTAAAAATAAATTATTTTAAACATGATATATTAAATATATTTTGTTCAAAAATATTCTTCCATGCTTATTCTTTTTTATAATTAAAAGAATTTTATATTTATTTTAAATAATTCAAACTAATACTACGTAACTCAATGTCCAATTTAAACAACAACAAGAATAAAAGTTATCATATATTATATTATATATAATTATAATTATATATAATATTATATTAATATTATATAATTAACAACAATATATATATATTATATAATAAATAATAATTAAAAACAATATATATATGTTGTTATATAGATGGTATATATATAATTTAACATTTATTTGAAATAATTCAAACTAATACTACGTAACTCAATGTTCAATTTAAAAAACAACAACAACAAAAATTATCATATATTATATTATATATAATTATAATTATATATAATATTATATTAATATTATATACTTAATACAACAACATATATATATATATATATATGTTGTTGTATTAATATATATATATATTGTTATATAGATGGTATATATATAATTTAACATTTATTTGAAATAATTCAAACTAATACTACGTAACTCAATGTCCAATTTAAAAAACAACAAGAACAAAAATTATATATATATATATATATATATATATATATATTGTTCAATGTGTTTAATTTTACAATCCAATGATTTGTTGAATTTCAAATAATAAAAATAAATAATAAAAAAAAACGGAAATTGGAAGAAAGGAAAATATACAAAAACGTAATTCGTTGTTCGAGAATATATATCTATATATATATTCTCTATTTATGGGCGTTCGGGAGTATCAAGTCCGATGATGGCTTGTACGATGAGTTCAGTATCGTGCGTATCGCGTGTGCGTTATAACGTTCCTCTAGAATAATCTCTTTTTCTTTCTCTCTATCTCTTATTTCCTTCTTCAATAAATAATATCAAATACATTAAAGTACATACAAAACAAAAACAAATAATAAAAAGTAAGATATATATATATATATATATATATATATATATAACTTCATTTCAAATTGATATAATATCAATTAACATTACTAATCTTCATGTTTATTTTGTGTATACATAATAAATAATAAATTAAATCTTTAAATATAAGATTCATTTTCAGAAAAAAAACAAACAAAAAAAAAGATAGTGACGAGAATGAGAAACAAAGATAAGAAAGAAAAATAAAACAAATAAACCAGATAGAGAGAAAGAGAATGCAGTTTTCATTTCTTTTTTTAATCCACAGTTGAGTATATAGTGTTGAAAGTCAGTCACAACAAAGTTAAAAGTGTTAAGAATAGTTTTTTTATTTTTCTTTTCATCTTACTGCATTGATATTTTTACAATCTTTTAAAAAAAAAAAAAGAAACAAAAAGATACATTCACTCTCATGTTGATTTATTTTTATTCAATTTTGTATAATTTCTAAATAATTGTTTATCGTTAAATGTACATTTGTGAAAAATCAATAAAAGTGTTGTGTAATGTAAAATCTAACTCTTATACAGAACTCATTATTTTATTAAACGAATGAAAATCAACTATTGAATGACCTTTGATAATTTCTAAATCAAATAAATAAAAAAGTGAATAAATAAGAGACAAAGATCAAACTTAATCTGTGTTATTCGTATATTAATCTAATGAAAGGAAAAGTGTAATGAAAATAGTAATGAAAATAGAAGATACGTAAATTTCAAATATGGATGATTACAAACGAAAACAACAACAACAACCATGTTTATTTCCAATCAATGGCAAGTATATTAAATAATTTAATATATTATTATTATTATTATTATATTTAATTAATAATTATATTCAAATATTTTTATATTAATATTTCTATTATGACGTACATATATTTATAATTTCAAAAATATACGTTAAATGACGCGTGGTTTTATTATGTGTTTTTACGTGTAATTCAAATTAACACACACATCCACACACATACACACGTTTAAAACACGTAAAATTGCGTTCTGTTTTTAACTATACTCTAACACACACACACACACACACACACACACACACATATATATATATATATATATCATACCTATAATTATATAAATAAATGTGTATACGTAAAATAGATGTCATCAAATAAAAATAAAATGGCAACATTTAAAACACATAAAAAAGTATCAAACAAACCTGTCGTTCAGGTAATTTTAAAAAGAAATTAAAAAAGACAGTATCATTTCTATTCAGAAATAAATCACAATATTTGTACGATCAAAGAACGTGATAAAAAAAAAAAAAATCAATGATTGTGTTAACGTCACCACATAAAGAAGAGATTTGCAAAAATCAGATACGATCGTAACACATCATCGTATGATCAATGACGCGTTTAAAAAAATCGATAAAAAAAAAAACAAATAATCTTTAATTAACGGAATAATCTTATTAAAATATACATTATCACTATTTCTCATAATTCTCGTGTAAACGTTTATATTTATTGGTTATTATTATTATTATTATTATTATTATTATTATTTATTTATTTAACAATCTCTCATTTGATCTTTGTTTCTCGTTAAATATAACCAAATGAATTATCCCTAGTATAGCAGAAAATATATTGAAAAATATTGAATACACGTTGTATTTAATATTAAAAAAGGAGATTCAATGTATTTTTAATATTTAATATTAATTATTATTAATATTAAATTAATATAATTATTAATATAATTAAAATAATATTTTGTACTACTAGAGTAGTAGTATTTCATATTTTCAAATAATTCATTTTAATACGAAATTGTAAATCATAGTATCAAAGTATTACGTTGTTGTTATTGTTATTGTTGTTGTTGTTGTGTTGTGTTGTCTTATGTTGTAAAAAGATTATCGTGTTTCTTATCTATATATTTGCAGATAGTCTTTCATAGATTTTATTTTCCTCTATTGAAAATGATTATTGATTATTACTATGAATCATGACTTTGAACGTACAATTACCAAAATATGCATTAATATGCTGTTATATAACATATATATATATATATGTGTAGATGTTAACTTGTGTTAATAATAATGTGTGTATATACATGTGTATATATTAAATATCACTCTTTTAATCTTGCTTCCATCGTCTTTTTAATCAATTCATTGTTTTCAATTTATTCAGTAGCGTTAGGAAAACCGATACTCATATATATATATATATATATATATATGATAATATATATATGCAACAGCAGCAGCAACAGGTTGGTAAAGCACAACTCGCCCTATTAATTTAATCTTATGCAAGTGAACGATCTAGTATAATATCCGATGATGTGTACTCATTTTATTAAACACTTTTTCATATTCTATTGTATTAATTGTATTACTTTTGATCTTTTATTTTTCCCCTAGTATTTGTTTGGATATTATACCTCAATTGGTTGACATGGATCAACAGTTCATTAAGCTATGCCGCTGAAGACATTAATTGTTGTAAAAATGACACCAAATGGTTAGGAGGAAAAAATTGCAGCGATGGCAGTAACATACGTCTTCATTGTCCTAATGGATTGTTTCTAACTGATTCCGAACAAGAGAAATTTAATATTACGGAAACCAGCAATGGTGCGATATTGACATTAATTGATAATGATTTCCAGGATATAATGCAAGACAAGTAAACATTCCTCTTTTATTCAATTCATTTGTATTTTTAATTTTTTCAACAACTTTTTTAATGCTATAAACGCATACATGCGTTTATCAATTTTTTTTTTTGTTTAATCTATTTCCAACATAGATCAATATAATTGAAATTGTTAAGAAAAAAAAAAACAAGTAGTAAAGGATTTAAATGAAATTGAAACTTTAATCAAAATTTCTTTTCAATTATCACAGATTTTGTTTGTTACCCACGGATAATGTTGACAAATTAATGGCATTAATGTGTTTCGAGGATTCTTACATTGACCAGATACATTCATGGAAAAATATATTATATTTGGCACTCAGTATGATATCGGCTATATTTTTAATCATAACACTTGTTATTTATTTGATACTTCCTGAACTTCGTGAGATACAAGATAAAGCGATGATGGGTTCAATTTCTTCTTTAGCAGTCAGTTATATTATTTTATGTATCCAAAATACCAGAGATGAGTACAATGAAGACATAACTTTATGTGTTACTTTAGGTATATACACATACACACACACATATACATATATAAGTATCTCATATTAACATTGTTTAAATATTAAAAATTATTTTATATTTTAGCATTCTTGTTGTACTATGCATTCATGATTGCATTCTTTTGGTTAAACATTGTTGCATTTAATATTTGGCGAACAGTCTGGTGAGTAAAATATTTTAACTAATTTATGGTTGTTTTTTTTTTATAACGAAATATAATTGTATTTTTAGGTTCAAACATTTTGTGATCAACGATAAAATACTTTTCCCAATTTATTGCGTATTTGGATTATTCTTCCCGACTTGTTTCTTATTGTCGACACTTATAACTCATCATATTGATGGAACTCACATAAAACCACATTTTGGTGAATCCAAGTGTTGGTTTAGCGGTAAATATTCAATTAATATTTACATCTTCAACTTCAACTTCAGCCTCATCTTCATCTTCAACTTCAACTTCAGCCTCATCTTCATCTTCATATTCAACTGCAGCTTCATCTTCATCTTCATCTCCATTTACATCTTCATCTTCATCTTCAACTTCAGCTTCATCTTCAGCTTCAGCTTCAGCTTCAGCTTCAGCTTCAGCTTCAGCTTCAGCTTCATCTTCATCGTTAGCTTCAGCTTTTCATTTACATCTTCATCTTCATTTCCATTTACATCTTCATCTTCATCGTTAGCTGCAGCTCTTCATTTACATCTTCATCTTCATCGTTAGCTGCAGCTCTTCANATTTACATCTTCATCTTCATCGTTAGCTGCAGCTCTTCATTTACATCTTCATCTTCATCGTTAGCTGCAGCTCTTCATTTACATCTTCATCTTCACCTCCATTTACATCTTCATCTTCATCTCCATTTACATCTTCATCTTCATCGTTAGCTTCAGCTTTAGCTTCATCTTCAGCTTCATCTTTAGCTTCATCTTTATCTTCATCATATGTTTAATAAATTAATTTACATGTTTCTTTGGGCTGGGGATGAATTAGGAACAAACGAAGTCTGGGTATTTTTTTATGGTCCAATATCAATACTATTGACACTAAATGTTATCTATTTGGGTCTGACAAGTTGGAGATTATGGCACGAATATCGTGAATATAGTGGAAATAAATTACGAGCTTTAAGATTTAAATGTTTACTTTATACAAAGCTAGTACTTGTTATGGGTATAACATGGATATTTGAGATATTATCATTTGCTGCCAATTCATCGGACTGGTATTGGTAAATTATTATTATTATTATTTTCATATTTATTCAACACATTTTTAAATCTATTATTATAACTGTGTGATCAATTATAAAGTTTATTTCGTAATAATTCTTGAAAATTTTCTACATTCATTACAAATGGCTATTAAAATTATAGCCTTTGGCGTAAATACATTCTTCCTTGTTCTTTCAAATATCTAAAAAAAAAAATACGTCAGACGTCATATTATTAAATGTAATTTTCATATTAATTTCTTTTTTTTTTTTTTTTATTACGTGTAAATACTTCTTATTCTTTCAATTCTCTCTTTGATCAACTAAAACCCAACCTTAAATGTTTAATATTCCTTTCAATGTTATCTCATCATTTGATTTTTATACTTAAAATGAAACTTTGTTTTTTCTTTCAGGATACCAACGGATATTTTAAATTCATTACAAGGCTTTATAATATTTCTTCTTTTGGTTGTATCCCGTAAAAGAGTGAGAAAACTTTTGGCTAAAAAGAAACCATGTGGCATTGTTTTCCCTAAATCTTGGATAGCCTATGAAGATGAGGAATGTGAAGTTGTGTTACCAGAAGAATTGGAATTGTCCCAACAGGGCTAGGAAATTTATTCATTCATTCATCCAATCATTCGTTCATTCATTTATTCATTCATCTTCATTATGACTTTTTAAAAATTGTTTTTAAAAAAAACAACAACAGAAGATGAAACTTGTGTGCATTATTAATAAGTTATTGTCTTAACGATCTCATTTCTATTTAAATCATTTGACAAATGCATTATCTGCTAATTATTATTATTAAAAAAAAAATAATATTGAGATTTTATTAATGTACAAATCAATTATACATATATATATATATATATATATATATGTATGTGTATTTTTCTTTCATGTAGTTTTGTAAATGAAGAAGAGAGATTATTATTATTATTATTATTATTATACAGGAATCTCACTATAAATATTAAGAAATTGTGAGAACTACTAAAACAAATGTAAAAATATATATAAAGTATAAAACTAAATATAAAAACACACATTGTGTTTTATTATTATTATTATTATAATTATACCTATCACTTTGTTTCATGTATATATATTTATACAGCTTCTGTTTTAAATATTGAGTATAATGACGATAATGCAAAACATTCATTTTTTTAAATTTATATTCCACACTATATGTGTGAGTGTGCGAATGTAAAACAAAGAATTGACTCATTCAATTTTATTTTTCTTTCTTTCACGTAGTATAATACAAAACCGGACTTTGTATTTGCATTTAACTAACGACGATACCAAATTTATATACCTTGACATATACAATCAAATGATTGTATGATGATTCATCGTCAATAAGATACCAAATTATTTTTAATTATAAAATATATTAAATATATATAATTATAAATTATATTTTATAATTATACTAGTCCGATACACACGTCTTTAAGTCAACGAATTACCTTATACCGCCATCTCTTAGAATCTTATCGAACTAACAGAGATAATCATGACTCTTTGTTAATAAACAAATAATATTGCTATTATCAATTGAGATATAAATTATCCTATCTTTCAAGTTAGATGAAACTGCACACGGTGTGCAAAACATTATTAAAATCGGTTCAGTAGTTTAGGAGTCCATTGCGGACAAACAACGTGACACGTAATTTATGTATATTAAGATAAGATAAACTATCCTATCTTTCAAGTTGGATGAAATTGCACACAGTGTGCAAAATTTTATTAAAATCGGTTCAGTAGTTTAGGAGTCCATTGCGGACAAACAACGTGACACGTAATTTCTATATATTCAGACATTAATTATATATTTTTAATTATAAATTTATATATATATATATATATATTTAATATTAACATTAGATGTACCACCATTTTTAATACCTATTTCTACCACACTAGTCAAAACGACTGGTGTAAAAAAAATGCTTTTTGATGTTTGCAGTCTCTATTTACTCTTAAAAAATAACAAAAAAAATATTTAACAATAATAATTGTAATAGATATTTTTAAATAACAAAATGCTTAATTATTTACAGAACTCAATTGATACACGAAGTAGAAATTTTGAATTAAAATGGCGCGAACAGTCAAAATGACTGGTCTGATATATCTAATGTTAAATTAATTATATATAATTATAAATATAATTTTAATTATACACACACAGTTTTCTTTTTTTTTAATTTTATACAGAAATAAATTTGAATAAAATTCAAAAAAAATAAAAAAAAAAATTAAATAACAAAACAAAATCAATTATTTCTACTTTAAATCATCAGAAGTATAATTAATTTTTTTTTTTTTTAAATACATATATATATATGTATTTAAATACATTCTCTATTGACGTAAGAACGTTTAAAATTGATTATACAATTCAACTTAATTCCAGTATTAAATTGAAATCGTATTTAACTATCATCATTCATTTATGATATACGTGATAAAAGAAAGAAGCGTTTGTATTATCAATTAACAAAAAAGTATGCGAGAGGGCAATGAAGTTACTAGTTCATCAACGAACAAGATACATTCGTTTAATATGATAAAAATGATCTAATCTAGTACACAGAAGATGCTCTATTTGTTTTTAAAGGATCATTCACACCTAACTTTTATAAGTTCATATTTTTACAGTTAATAAAACAATTTTTATACATTTTCTCTTATCTCATCTTTTAACATGAATTTAACAAACGTATCATCACTTACTCATTATATATCAAATACCTGGAAAGGTAATGTATAAATAAGAAACATAACAAACTTATGAATCATTCTGATAGAACTAACGTCATAGAATAGATATTGAAAAGAGAAATCAAAAAAGGTAGATACGATTAATAGAAAACATTATAATTCTTTGAAACAGATATTGTACAATTTGTATTAATTAAAATTCCCTTGTTAGTTAAGTTAAGTTCGGTGTGAATCGAGCTTTAAATTTTTGTAATAGTGAGAGAAACCCTTCTTGTCTCTTCTCTACTCTTCTTTTCACACACACGTAACAACACATACACACACAAAGAACGAGTCAAACGAATGGAGGAGTGGGGAGGACTGGAATAGTAAAAGACTAACAAAGTATGAAAGAGAGTACAAGAAGAAACCAGAATGGACGAAGAGGAGGGGGGACAAGTATGGATGAGTAAGAGTAGGGTTCTCTTCTTTGCAAGCGTTTTTGTCTCAACTAGCAACAGAGACAGGAAAGGAAAGGTATGGTAAAGTTAAGATGAATCCAGAATATTGCGTTATTTGGACGCACATGTGTACAGAGCTTAAACGTCCTGTTAATGTGAAAGATAGAAAGAGAGGGATAGAGTGTGCTGCGTGTGAGTGGAAATCAATATTTCATTGATTAGCATATATACTTCTGAGTAATGTCCTATGATGACAAATATTATTGTATTATAAAATGTTGAGTTAACGAAGGTATACAAAAGGAAAATGAAGGTGAAATGGTGATATGTTGGTAGAGGAAGAAATAAAGAAATAAAGTGTGAACGTGAAACGGAGAGAGAGAGAGAGAGAGAGAAAAAAAAGTGTGTGCACACGCTTGTGTGGTGAACAAGAAAGAAAAGAGAAGGGGGTTAGTACAAGAGTGACATGCATCTTGCAACGGCATTACTTTTCGTATCATTCCTAGCGAGTCATTCGAGATTCGCCGGTGGAAATACAAATACAAATGAAAAATCAATAACGATTAAAATAGCTAAGTGTTGCGAATTGAATGAACTTCTTTTGGACGACACGTGCACACCATTATCAGATACGAACGAAACGAAACCATGGCAACCAGAATATACTCAAGACAAAGATTCCAATATTTACTTGAAAACTCCTGTAACTCCGGATTATCGTATTGGATTACCTAGATGTCTTAGTAACGAACAGCAATGGCATGTTTATTATTATCCATCAGGACCAGACAGATTGGCTATTATTTTGCCATCGGGTAAACTCAGACATTATGCTGATAATGAAGAAATTAGTGAAGATAATGAAGAGGCTGGTGCCTTTGAATCGATTAGAATACATGACGAAGAAGATCAAACTAAATCCATTCATTATGATTATTCTTTTGGACAGTATTGTGCGGATAAAGCTATACTCAGTAGCAATAATTTAGTAGCTACCTATGCCATGATATGTGTTCCTGAGGTATCAGTTCAATGGACTGATACTAATTTTGTGATGACACATGCTATTGATCCTACCTTTCATGGTATAAACATAATGATATATCTTATAGTTGCAATCGTTTATTTTGCTCTACCACAATTGAGAGATCTTTTTGGTAATATGATAACTAGTATGGCGCTGTGTCTTATAGTCAATCAATGCGCCAGGACAGTTAAACTATTCAGTGAACTTGGTAATCATATTAGCTTTATGGTAGCTGGTAAGTTGAAATACCAATTAAATTGATGAATTTATACAAAATCAAGTCTTCTTCTATCTAATGTTTTCATCCTTTTCTTCCCCAGATACAGTCGCTTATACATCCTTGTTAGCTGCTTTCTTCTGGATCAACGCTATGGGCTACTATATTTGGAAAACGTTCAGTTCTCGCAATGTATTTTTACATACAACTGATAGAAAAAAATATTGTTATTATTCTGCATACGTTTGGGGAGCAACCATTTCCAGTTTTGCACTTGCAATTTTTGCACATTTTATATTAGAAACTGACAAACCTACTATAGGTGGTACATTGTATCCTGCTCAAGAAACCATTGGTTGGTTAAGTTTTTCAGTTTATTACATGTCTATGGCTCTTATAATAATGATTAATTTTACCTTCATTTTTACAACAGCAAATAAAATGAAAAGAATGAGACCATACGGTAGGATACATCATAAAATGAAATACAATTTTCGAATCTTTGTTTATCTGTTTGCAACGATGAATATTAGTTTGATAACGTTATTATTAACTGGATTAAAATACGAGGCATTTGTGTATCTCCACATTATTGCTAATTTTTTACAAGCATGTTTCATAGTCTATATATGTATATGTAGTCAAAAAAGAGTCAAATTTTTACTTGGAAAAACATACAATTGTTGTTGTAACGTTGACGATAATTTCGAAGGATTTGATTGGGGAGAAGAAATGACAGCGATTAATGCCGGTTATTAAAATTTACACTTATAGATTTTAAAATAATTAACTCTGACTGATTGTCCAAATAAAAGACATATCTAATATTTAATATCAATCAATTTTTTTCATTAGCTTTAAGATATTTGATAAATGTATTGTAAATTGTGTATGTGCCTTTGATAATAGATCTGTGTATATAATCATAATACTAGTTAATTAAATAATGAAAATCTTTATATAAATATATATATATATGTATTACCTAATAAAGTATTAATACCTATTTTTAGTATATATAGTCAAAGTTAATTATAACATCTGTTATTATGTGCTTTTCAAATATTACTGTAATATTTCTTTGTACGATATAGCAATTTTTTATGTAAAGAAAAAAAACAAACAAGATAAAAAGAAAATCATTTTACGTGTTCATGCATATAAATAATTAAATAAACTATCTTGTATACTCTATTAATATTTTGGTATTTTATTTTAACTTACCTGACCGAATAATCCACCTTCTGGCCGGTGTAGTAAATTGGATAATTGACAGCGTACCACCAGATGACAATCGTCCATGACGGTATTGAAAAAGCGCCTAGTTGGTAGAAGAGCTTCGAGATCGATGATCAGTTCCAAGAATCTTTCGCAGTAACGAATTTTGTCAGGAAAAACAGGTTCTGTAATAAATTATTTAAGATTATATTGTTCTTCAAAATATATATATATAAGAATGTAAGAAGAAACAGTAACACGAGTTCCTAAAGGCAAAAAATGGTATATATATGCCTCTATTGTAGGGATAACTTGATTTTTGTATATATTATATTAATGTTTGAAGCTATTTGATCTGCAATAATTTGGTCCTACGACAAGAGGTCATAGCTTACCTTTTTTTTCTGTCAGGAACTCGTGCATCAATTACCTTCAAGAGGAATAGTTTCTAATATGGTCATAAATTTGATCATAAGTCTGTGTAAGAATTTACGTTCCCATTCTAATTTATCTTTCAATTCGGGATTATCTTTTTTTCTTATAACCTTCCAGTATTTTCTCCATTTAGGATATTTCTTAAATTCTAACTCTCTACGTCCTTCTTGCAACGATATCCACATGGACAACGATACCAATCTTTTAACTTCTTCTCTAACCAATGGTACTTCCATAGAATTGAAGCAATGATTTAAAAATACAATAAGTGCTGTTTGTTCTTTAAGATCAAAATCCATAATACTGTCTTCCAAGCATGCTTCGAGAACCTTTTGAAAGAATCCAGCGAACTGTTTTGGATTCTTTTCGAATGCTTCCCAAACTTGTACACGTTCACGAAACTTTTCGTTGACCATAACGACGATTGACATGGTGTGTGCACGAGTAGCAGTTTCTACATGATAATTTGGCCATAGAAAATTTTCCAAATATTGACTGAATTCTAACATCATGATACGTCGAATGGAAAACTTTGAAGCACATATTTCTTGGATATAAATGTCATCTACTATTTGAGAATTAAATGGTAGATGTATATCTGTAGTATGCGGTGCCCAATATTTATTAGCCAACTGTAAAATAAATGAATGAAAATTTTAGGTTAGAATTCTATTGAGTTATATAGAAAACTATTTCATAATCAAATAATTGAAACATTTAGGTTAGAATTAATTTGATTATAAAGAAAACTATACTTCACAATAAAATAAATGAAAATTAAATCAAATACCTGAGTTACTTTATCTGCGTTAATCTGTTCAACAGTTGGAGCAGGATTATTACTTTTAATGGGAGGTACATTTAGATTTTCCATTTTTAATTTTTTACACTTTTTCACAATATATATCAATTCAGTTTACAATATAAGAAAGCTTACATTTACTGCACTTTATTCAACACATCAAACGCACACACAAAGTTTGGTTATATTACATGTATACATGTATGCATATTGCATAAATGTATATAACAACTTAACACACACAATATTACAACTAAAATTATACTTGAATTCTTATAAAAATTATATTTCTACACTAATCATCATTTCAATTATCTTTTTTTTTTTATCAAGTTATTATTATATTATTAAATTAATAAACACACTAATGAACTTTTTTAAATTGAAGAAACGAGTTAACCACGAAACTTGTCAATACATGATAAACAAGATCGAAGAATATTTAACGTCACGTGATTGAATACGTTTAATTGGTTAATCGAATTTTCTCGATTATCACAGGTGCAACGATAATCGATATTTAACTTTCAAAATTAATTTAAAAAATCGATCATATTCAAATTATAATTATTTTGATAATAATAATATCTTAGGTTGAATGTTAAATCTAGGTTATATTTAATCGATGACTGAACATTATTGCGCCACGTTTAAATTTCCCTCCTTTTAAAACACGTGGGAAAAGAATATATTTATTATCGAAGTTTTTTTTCCATCAAAGTGTAAGGTACTTGATAATCGTTTTATCTATTTATTTATTTATTCGTACTAATATTAAAATTATTTAAACGAATAAATATTTTACGCATTTGATTCTAATAAAACAATTGGGTGATAATAAGTTAACCAAAATAATACAACATGCCCCCTAAAAAAAGGATTCATTCTAAATCACCAAGTTCAAAATTAAAAAAATTGAAGTTAACAACAGAGTCTGACGATAATACAAATATTTCTAATGATACTGAATTATCCAAAGATTTATCAGAAATTACAAATAACACGGATAACAATAATGCTTCGTTAAATACATCACCATCATCATTGTCATCAACACAATTACCAATTTCTGAAAGATTATTATTAATTGAACAAGATTTATGTCAACAGTTAAAAAATATCAAATTCCCTTCCAAAGTTGAATATATTTACAATCCAATAATCTATGCATTTGATGTGCATGCAAAGTATGTGCAAACTTATTGCAATGAAACAAAAACAATTTTATTTCTTGGAATGAATCCTGGTCCATGGGGTATGTCGCAAACAGGTGTACCATTTGGTGAAATTAGTATGGTTCGCGACTGGTTAAAGATTCAGGGTTTTGTTGGAAAACCATCTAAAGAACAACCGGATAGAAAAGTAACCGGGTTTGATTGTAAACGTAGTGAAATTAGTGGTAAAAGGCTATGGGGATTATTTAAAGAATTATGTGGAACTCCGGAGAATTTTTTTAAACATTCTTATGTACATAATTATTGTCCTATCGCTTTAATGGATCGTAAAGGAAAAAACATCACACCTGCAGATTTAAAGGCAATGCTTGTTCCTCCTTTATTCCTCTTTCTCGTTATTATATTTATATATATATATATCTAATGTTATAAATATTTTCTTTCTTTTTTTTTTTTCAGAAAGAAGAACAAAAATTAATACACGAATTGTGCGATCAAGCATTATCCAAAATAATTCAATTATTGGATGTGAAGATTGTAGTTGGTGTAGGAAGATTTGCAGAGAAAAGGGCACAGGCTGTAGTAAGTGCGGATAATTTATCTGCTCAGGTAATATTGAAAAACAACAAAAATATCATTTATCATTGTTTTACACATACACGCACGTGTGCACATGATTATACATATATATATATAAAGTTATATTTCATTTTTTTGTTTTTGTTTATATAATTAAACTATTCTTTTTAGGTGTTATGGATTACTCATCCTAGTCCAAGATCAGTTGGAAATCAAAACTGGGATGAGAAAACCAAACAAAGATTGCACGAACTTGAATTAGCAAAGTATTTTACCAATTAAATAATTAATATTATCGTAATAAGTAAAAAAGGAATATTTTTATCTTTTCATCAAAACAATTGACTATTATAATATGTGAATGTAAAAAATTCATTAGTTTTCATTGTACATTATAGTTAATTGTTTCCTTTTATACTTTTATACTAATATACTATCATAATATATATAAATATTACTTCTTTTATATTACAAAAACTTAATATATTACTATTTTCATTAATTTTAATCGCTATGAATGCAGTCGCATGGATGGACGTTGCTTTGAAAAAAGCTGCAGCTTCATTGAAAGTTGGCGAGGTTCCAGTTGGTTGTTTATTCATATATAATGATCAAATTATTGCAGAAAGTAATAATACTGTTAATGAAACCTGTAATGCAACTAGGCATGCAGAAATGAATTGCATTGATCAAGTTTTAACATACTCTAAGGAGAAATTCTTAGATTATAAAGAAGTATTCTCAAATATAGACATCGTGGTTACTGTAGAACCATGTATAATGTGTACATCAGCATTATACCAATTAAGAGTCCGCAGTATTATTTACGGTTGTAAAAATGATAGGTTTGGAGGTTGTATTAGTGTATTCAAAGTACCTAATGTTTATGACACTAAAGTAACTGTATTAGGAGATATAAAAAGCGATGAAGCTATAAGTTTACTTAAAAATTTTTATGAAGGTACAAACCCAAATGCACCGGAGTCGAAAGCTAAGAAAAATTTCAAAAATTGAAGACCAATAATAATAATAATAATAATAATAATAAACGAATTGAAATACAAAATTTCATTGTGTGGATAATTTGTTTTTATGATCCTTTTATATATATATATATTAATATATTATTTAAATTAATGCACGTAACAATATAAATAACAAGAATCATTATTTTTACGTGTTTTTATATTTGTTCGTGCATTTTATTAAAAAAAATTTATTTTGCTATATATACCTGATTTAACATTAGGACATGCACCATAGGGGATCCTTTTCACATTTACCTTGATACCATTTTATTAACAACTGATTTTTTAATGAATATTTATGAAGTACTATATGACTGAGCTGTAAACACAATTTGATTTAAATTATATATATAGAAAAATTAATATACACATTTTTTGTAATTAAAATTAATACTCACCGGAGAAGGTGGAAATATTCTTTGAAAATCCAATTTGTTTTGATGTTCTTTATAACTTTGAATTAATATTTGTTTAATTTCTTCTGTCATACATGAAATACAAAGTTGACATTCAACTTTGAAACAATCTTGACATGTTGTACAAATTTGCGGTAATACTGCTAAATTTTTATTCGCTACTTCAATTTCGTGTAAAAGTTGATTTCTATCAAATAAATATATTATTAGTTGATTTTTATTTTATACATAACAAAATAATAATAAATGATTAAAGAAATGATCTAAGTTACTTTATATCGAATGATTTTTCCATTGAAGTTGTTTTAATTCTTGAATTAATACCGATGAGTGAGAATAAATTAAATAAAACTTGTTGATAAAGTAATTGATTAGGAGGATAATGAGCAGATGATAAATTGGGAGACATATTTGCTTCCATCACATGTACTTTCATATCTTCATCGATAATAAAATCAAATCTGACCAATTCGAAATAATTTCTTTTATTACCATGACGTTGAATACTTTCTTTTATTAAACCTTCTTTCATAATAGCTATTTCTTCAATTGCTTGTATTATTTGATTCCAAATATTATCAAAGTCTTTTCCAATTGATCTCATATATGCGTATAATGAATCTTTCATCGAATATCCCAAACGAATATAATAATTATTAAGAGATGGTACTTCCCAAATAGGTCGATAGTCATCGCCAATAATGTATGAATCCTCTTGACTGTTATCAAATGGTTCATACTTTATCGTGCAGAATCTGAGTAAGACATCACCTTTGTAAATATATACTCTGAGTGGATCAATAGATGTAAATGCTACATATACACCTAGATCAAATTTATAACCATCTATGAGAAATGGATTATCTATAAAATCTTGTATAAAAGATTCTGAATCATTGTAAATAATATCAGAAGCTTTAACAATCTTTATACCACGATGATTATTAGACTTTTTCAACCATAATTTATTTGGATTTAAAATGGCATGTGTGAGTAATCTATTCTTATCCTGTGGAATTCTATACGATTGAGGTAAATAGTATGCTCCGGATGTAGATAAATGTTTTTTGTTTGTAATATAACCGCAGCCAGGAAAATGATTGATTAATTGATGTGGTTTTAAATTTTGTAATATTGGAGCAAATGTTACAAATGGATATTGATGCGACCACAATAGATTCCAATTAACTTCATCGTAAGTACGTTTAAATCCGATACTATTTAATACCGTAAATATATTCTCCAAATGATCGGTGGAATCGTTGTTTCTATTAAGAACATAATACGTTGGTCTTTCATCGTCGAATTTTTCTTTATCAATCTTTTTCAATGGTGACTGAATATATAAATAATAGAATATGCTAAGTAATATCACTATTAGTGACGTAAAACATAAAAATAATGTAAATGTTGATTGTATTTTATTAAACAAATATATCTTATCCATTTCTTGCTGAAAAAAGAAAAAAAACAGAAACAAAATGAATACTTTTCTATTAATAACTCGTATAATTGAAATTTATATATTAAAATATAAATGTAATAATGTAAAACCTTTCTCTTTCTTCTCATTCTTTTCGTATCTGATCTCATATAAATTGTATCTAGATTAAAATTTGATTTTGCATCCTCATTACCACAAATTTTATTATAAAATAACATTGTAAATTAGATGATTTTACACTATAACGTATATTCACTATCAATAGAATACACAATGTGAAAGTACCGTTTTAATATATTCCTCCTTCCTTACTGCAAAAGTATGTCACGTATGTTTTCACTATGATAAAAATAATAATTCTCTAATATCGAACAGATGAAAATAATTAGAATTTAATGAATTGTTAATTAGATTTGTTTACCTTTACGTTCACAGAACGTCTTACATTAAACACTTTGAATATCCTTCACTATAATTAAACGGATTTTTTCAAAATGATGTGTGTGTGTATATGTATCATAATTATTAGCTAACATCAGCTAATATATTCTTATTCCTTCTTATTTCCTAATTATTTATTAATAGAAATATATACATGTATATATTTAATATATTTACTAGATATATTTATATAAAATAAATAATTTTGGTATAAGTAATAATAATGATTATCTTTGTTTCAATTTACAAGGGCATTCAATTAATCTTTTTTTTTTTAATTTTAAAAATGCAACTACTGCCCTCTGTTCTCGCGCCACGAAAATATATTACGAATGCGAGCGCCCTCACATACAATAAGCATCTGATTGAGGAAATTTCTCTTTCCTTTACGTTGAAAGACTTCGGTGAAGAAACGACTGAGTAGTGGTTTGCTAACAAAATGGGTTTTCAAAATATTTGGTACTCGCATCCACGCAAATACGGTCAAGGATCTAGATCCTGGTAAGTTATTTAATAAAATATATTTACTTCTTTTGTTTAGATTTTTTTTAGATTTGTTTACTACATTTTATTGCTATATGAAATCATCGCGACCGCGTGTTATATACTTTTCATTTTACTATTTAAAGTTGCTATGTAATATTTACATCAAATGGTATACTAAATAATTCAATATTTATCATTATTATTTATATAATGTATAATAGAATTCATATTTTCCATGATTTCGTTAATCTTATCTAAAAAAAAAGGTAATTATAGATGAACATGAAATTAGAGGTTAGGTTGTGATTCAAGCATGGAGAATAATATATACATATCAAACAATATAAATATATATATAATGCAATTACATTTTCTACGTATTTCTTTCTTTCATTTGAAAATGTTCCTTTTAACTTTGTTTACAGCCGTGCATGTGCAAACAAACATGGTCTTATCCGTAAATATGGTCTGAACATTTGCAGACAATGTTTCAGAGAATACGCAGCTGATATTGGTTTCAAGAAGGTAAAAATATAATCTTTTATAACATCTAAAACAAAATACTTATATACAAATTTATATTTATAATTAATTTCTGTTTTCTTTTACAGTTGGATTAATCCAATAAAAAGAAACTAATATATAAGGATAAACAAATTCCAACAATGTATTTATCTACCACCATTCAATTCGTTGATTTAAATCATTGAAAATTTTATAAATTATCAAAACATCTAAACAGATAATTTGTATTAATGATAAAACTAAAATAAAGGACAATTCAGATATAATTTTTATTGTTATTTTTAATTAATTTATCCTATTTTATTATTTATTTTGTCTTGTGTATAGGTTATGGTTTAAATTGGATATGTACAATTAAGAAAAAAATATATTCTATGTATTAGCCAATAGAAATGATTAGCTACTCGTAACGGCCAATCAGAGAACGTGTAGAATGCCGATAACGTAGCCATCTTGTATGTACATTCGGATTGTATATCAGTTACAAAGCAATATTGCTTGAATTTAAGTATAGTTTAACATTGCAAAAACTATTCAAATTCATTATACAAATAATTGAAATTAAATACAATGGGCATAGCAGACGCAATGAATTACATTCTATTTACTAACCCAATTAGTTCTGGAACATTTTTATTTCTTAGAGGTACAGCAAGAATGGTGAGTTAGATCTTTTAAATTGATTTAATACCTGAGTCAGTATTTGAAAAATATAATATTTTCTCCTATATTTTCAAAACGCTGATTAGATAATCAGTTTTGTTTTCATTTAGAGTGCTTAAATCATATGAAATATAACCTACAATAAACATAAAGGTATGGTAACTTCATATGTATATATATATATATATGTAGTTATGTATATAAAAATAATAATAATAATAATAGTAAATTTTAAGAATGTAACAAAACTAACTGTCTTAAAGCACAATATAATTAAACTTATCAGTTTTTACTTATGTAATATATCAATTAATTAAAATATATATATATTATAGGCAGGTGATTACATGGGCTTAGAACCTAAACAAGAAATAAAAATGCCACAGACAGTTCAATTATGGAAATTATCATCGGCTTTAGGACCTTACGTCAAACTTGCTGGTCTTAGCGGAGCAATCGCTGTATCCTTGGGTGCTTATGGAGCGCACAGTAAGTTGTACCACAGTAATCAAATATAATCCTTTATCATTATTTTGATAAAAAAAAAAAATGAATATGTTTAAAATATAACATTATATAAAAATGATTATTTTCTTTGGTTTTAGACATTAATGCAGAAAAATTTCCAGAACAAGCCAAAATATTTGATACGGCTAATAGATATCACTTTTTTCATACATTAGCATTACTTGGTGCACCTCTTTGCAGAAGGCCAGGATTGGTAAATTTTCAATTTTATTAACCTCTTGCATTATGACAAAGTTGGTGTTTTATGTTTGGGATGTTTTAGAGAGACCGGAAAGTAATGTCATTTCTACATATGTCAATTTTTATATTTTAATCAAAAACCGATTAATTTTAGTCGATCCGATATTAAAAATTTACATTACTAAATGAAATAGGTTTTGTTGATAACAATAGTTGATTACATTATTGATTTAAAAATACAAATTTGTTAAAAAGTTATTCATTTGAATTTGAGGTTAGAAAGTGACATTACTCTGCGGTCCACCTAATATGATGTATCACGAGTTGTATATACTGTTGTATTTTTTATTTTTATTATGTTTCTTTTTATGGGTTTGAGATCTTGATAACATACCTTTCTAGGTTAACAACACATGGTGTTTTGAAATGTTCATCCATCTTAGTATTTATGTCCACCATTGCTTAACTTTAATGATCCTATGGGAACTAGTGTTTTTAAAGATGAGAGATTGTTGACAAACACCTTGTTGTAATGCAAAAGATTAATAATAATTGTTATGTATATATATATACATCTCTTTTTCTCATTAATTTACAGGCCACAATATTTTTCCTAAGTGGAATAATAATGTTCAGTGGTAATTGTTATTATATAGCTTTTACAAATGATAAACGTTTTTCAAGAATGGCTCCAATTGGTGGTACGTGTCTAATATTGGGATGGTTATCTTTAATCTTGTAAATGTACGATTATCTTTTTACTTATTTAAATATCATAACATATATATATATGTATATATGTTATGATATATTTTGAGATGTAAGAACGTATATTAAGTTTGTGATATTTACTGTTAAATTAATTTCTTCTAATAAACATAAAATAATTGTTTATATAAATAAAAATGTTTATAATAATATATTTCTATGTGTAAAATAAATGTTTTAAGTAAAAAAAATATATATATATATATATACTAGGGGTGCTCCGCCACGCTTTGCTGTGGTTATTTACAAAATATTTTCCTTAATGTGATCGCAGCACCAACCGTCGGGATCGAATAACTTCGATTATCGACTCGAATATTCTTTATAACTCGAATATCGACTAACTTCAACCTATAAACTTTTCGCATAACAATTTATAAATAAAAAATTAATGAAATAAACAACTTTAATTGGACCGAATTGTAACGCTAAACCATTATCGAATCCACCTAAAGACACACACAAAATTTCATTAAAATTGGTCCAGCCGTTTAGGAGGAGTTCAATTACAAAAACGTGCACAGAAGAAATATATATATAAGATACTAGGGGTGCCCCGCCATGTGTTGCTGTGGCTCACAATCAATCCGATACACAGTTCTTTAAGTCAACGAATTACCTTATACCGCCATCTGTTAGAATCTTATCGAACTAACAGAGTTAATCATAACTCTTTGTTAATAAACAAATAATATTGCTATTATAAATTGAGATATAAACTATCCTATCTTTCAAGTTGGATGAAATTGCACACGGTGTGCAAAATTTGATTAAAATCGGTTCAGTAGTTTAAGAGTCCATTGCGGACAAACAATGTGACACGTAATTTAAACATATTAAGAAGAAAGATTGTAGCATATATTATATATGCCACGTATTATGATATATATTTATAAGTATATTATTACCAATTTAAAAAAAAGAATTAATTTTTTTTGGCAATTGAGTTCTTTGTATTCTTATTATTTTTGTAAAACTAAAAAAAGAAGAAAAGTAAGGTAAAAAAATTGAAATATTTTGTTGTATAGTTTATAAAGAAAAAAAAAAAAAGGAAGTCTTTTTATACTCCAATTAATTGATATAAATATAACTTTGTTTATAAGATTAATGACACACAATGTGTTTGGAATTGTATTACCCGTTATTTATAACGTGTGTTATTGTTGCATGCGTATAAGACTTGTCGATCGAACATATTTTTTATTTTTAATTTTACTAAATTACTTTTCAAATACACCCCCCCCCCTCCCACCTCATATTCATGCAATTATTGTATTTTTTTTTACGTATTATCTTATTCGTCATCGCATAGTAGGAATAAAAAGGACACGATTAAAAAATAATGAATGTACCTCTTATAGATTATGTTGATTATGGTGGTGTACATGTAACATTGCCTGATGTTGTACTTTATGTGTTTTTAAATGCACACATCGACAATATAAATCACATATTTTAAATTATTATTATTATATGGTGGCATGAAATATCTGACAGCTCTATTTATCTTTTCTTGTTCATTTTCTTATTTGTTTAAAGTATATTTAATAAACTACAATAATAATAATAATAATAATAATAATAATAATATATTGAAATGAATACACAACTTTTGCTAATTGATCAAGACGTGGATCCTTTATATAATTGCACTGAAATAATTGGTATACTAAAAGGAAACAAAAATAAACAATTTTATGGCCTGCATTATAGCAATGTTACATGGTAAATAATTAATAGTAATAATATGATCGAAGTAATTATTACTTTTCACATTTCTTTAATTATCTTCATCTTCATCTTCTTCTTCTTCTTCTTCTTCTTCATCTTTTTCTTCTTCTTCTTCTTCATTTTCATTTTCATTTTCATCTTCATCTTCATCTTCTTCTTCTTCTTCTTCTTGATAAAGAGAATGTTTTAAAGTGATGCACAATATGTTATGGTTTATTTTAGGTACGTACGTACGACGGTTATAAATTTTAGCACCCAACTTTATATTACCTCATATATCGCAAAAATTGTCCCATTTGTAAGAATCATCATCAATGTGAACGCGTTTTCAAATTTAAGAAATTAATATTAATGTACATACATTGTATGTGATCCGTCTGATATACCCAAACTTTCACTTATTATCTTTTCTCCACTATTTTATACAGAGTCTTACAATTTTTATGAGCTTTTTTTCTTCCTTCCTTTTTTTTTTATTTATTTATTATTTTAATTATTATTCATCGTTCTTGTTTAGTTTATTCTTCTCTTTTAATTCTGACAAAGTAGTATGATGCTTAAGAGCTTCTTTAAAGTGGACGTAAAGGATATGCTTCCAATCTGTTTTTATGGACAACACACTTGGGGAAGAACAAAAACCGAAATACATGTTGTTTTCTTTTTTTTTTCGTTTTTTTTCAAACGATGATGCTGGCTGCACCCTTTTACACAGAGTTATTCTCATTAAGTAAAATAATTTAACTATCTTACTTAGAATAATGATATCAAATAATATATATATATTAATAATAATAATAATTAATTAATTAATTAATTAAATTTAATGATACATAGGTAGTAATTATAAATTTTAATATATATATATATGTACACACATATATACATATATATAGTATAGTATATATATATATGTGTGTATATATAGGTCTATATATATGTATAGAGAGATAGAGAGAGAGAGAGAGAGAAGGAGAAGAGATTGTTGCACAAAATGAATGCAATTTCTTGCAAATGCCGTTTTAGATTAAAAAAAATAAAATAAAATAAAATGAAATAAAATAAAAGCGGTGATGAATTTAGAGATCAGTTTTTTATGTCTATATGTGTATATAAATATGTATTATTAATACATATGTATATACATATATATATATATAAAATATTATAAGAAAAAAAGAATATGAATGATTGGTGATAATAATGATAATAATAATAATAATGAAAATAATTATGCTGCCACAGACATTGACATTATTTAAATTGAGTTGGCATTGCAATGAAGATGCAGTGATGAAGCATGTGCCACTACTACTTACTGTTTATTTTTTTTTTGTTTTTCAGTAATAGTAGTAACATCATCAGCAGATCAGCAGCATTGTATTATTAATTAATTAATTAATTTATTTACTGATTTTAGCTCATAAATTCCTCTTAGATTATGAGGCATATAAGATTGGCGATACACATGGCGATGCTTAAATGCATCACTGATATAAAATTTACTTATAGATCTAGTACACGTCGTCCTCTTGGTAGAGCTAAATTATATTATTATAATATATTTATACATATTTATATGTATAATATATACAATTATATATTATACATATACATACATATATATACGTGTGTGTGTGGGTTTTGTATTGTTATATTATTATTTTATATAGCAATATCAATTTTTGTTTGTTTGTTTTGTGTTGTTGTTGATGGTTGTCGTCTTGTTGTGTTGGTTGGTTGAATGGTTGGTTTCTCTGTTTTTTTTTCTGTTTTTCTTCTTCTTCTTCTTCTTTATATTCATTCTTATTTTTGTATCTTTTTTTACTATCATAATATAAAGTATTTATACTTAAAACTTGTTGCATCATTTCACATTAAACTATATTTACATTTTCCTCATTTTTTCTTCTTCTTCTTCTTCTTCTTCTTCCTTTCTTCTTTTTTTCTTTTTCTTTCTTTCTTTCTTTATCTTTTCATCATTTTTGTGTTTTTTCTTGGTTTTTGTTTTTTTTTCCTTTTTTATTATTATTATCATCATTTTACACACACACACATATACACGCACACGCACACACACCAAAGAGAGATTAAAGTTTCTAGAATTCAGGTTGCGCGCACTTAAAAGCTTATCCCCTAGCGCATTTTTTTTTTTTTATTTTCACCACAGAAAAATAGAGAGATAGATATATATATATATAGTATGTATAGTATATATATATATATATAGATGATAGAGATAGAGAACAACAAAACAAAAAAATCTATATTCGTGGTGTGAGACTTTTTAAAAACTATCATTGGATTGATTTCGTTTCTCTTCTTCTGTTTTTTGTTTGTTTTTTGTTTACTTGCACTTCTTTTTGTTTCTTTTTTTTTTCTACGAAAAAGAATTTCTAGATATATCACATTCCGAAACATATTATAATAATAATAATAGTAATAATAATATAATTAATTAATAATAAATATATAAATTTTAAATTTCATAATAAACAATAATAATAATAATAATATATGGTCCTGAATAATGAAAAAATAATTCAAACGAAATATTGTTAACTAATGTATACAATATATATATATATATTGTATGCATATATATATATATATAAAAACAAAAAAAAAATATAGTAATAATAGTAATAATAATAATAATAATAGTTTTATTTTACTTTAGTTATCAGAGCTAAAAAGATTTGATTATTTTTGTTTTTTTTTTTCCTCAAAGAAAAGAAATTTTGTTAACAAAATTCTTCTGTTTTTTTTTTGATATATATAATATATATATATATATATATACATATATATGTGTGTATCTATATATATATACATATACATATATATATATATACTTGATAAAACATCTTCTTGGTCTCTCAACCTGAATATATATGTATAATAATAATGAGATAGCGAAAAAATATTGACTTAAATGAATGAACGGACGAATGGACGAATTAATGAATGAATTAATTGATGAATGACGACATTGCGTTGGTGGTGGTGATGGTGGTTGTGGTAGTGGTGGTGTTGGTGGTGGTGGCGACTGCGGCGGCATTGGTGGTGGTGATTCTTTTTCCCAATCCATTTTCTAGGAAAGGTGGAATGAATGTTGACCTTCTTGTGCTGCTATTCTCAATTTTTCCCGCATTATTTCCAACGTAGTATAATCGGGCAATTTTAAATAATTAACGCAAGTCATTACGGATGGTAAAAAGTCATCGGTTTTCATAGATGGATCAAATGTTTTTCGTACTATCGTTAACGGTGGGGTCAAACTCTTAAAGCCTGTGAAATATAATCGTTTGTTAATAAATAAATCAATTTATTTGTGTAATTATTGTAATTATTATTAAGTCGGATCAAAAAGTAATGTCGTTTCTGTCAATTTTTATATTTTAATCAAAAATTGATTGATTTATCGATTCGGTATTAAAAATTTGCATACCAGGTGCATAAAGGTTGTTGATAACGAAGGGTGATTACATTTTATTGATTCAAAATAAAAACTTATTCAAAATTTATCCGTTTAAATTTAAGGTTAGAGAACAACATTACTTTCCGGTTCACCTAAAATTACTATAAAAAGAAGTACACTAAATAGATAATAAATAATAATAAATTTAAGGTTAGAAAGCAACATTACAACTTTCCAGTCTACCTAATATTACCATAAAAAAAGAATAATAAACAAATAAT